GGGAATTGCATGCTCCAATAGCGCTTCAGTGGTGGTCCTGGGTGGGCAGTTGGCAATTGGCAGTGGGCAGTGGGCACTGACCATCTGGCCCTGGCCCCTGGGCTCCATGGAACGGAACATCGCCAAGGCCACGACTCCATCCAATCAATACCAGATCCAGTTCCAGTCTATTACGATGACTACTCGTAATACTACTAGTAGCCGTACCTAGTAGTAATGCCGAGTGCGTCCTACGACTTGCATCTCACCCTCAAGATCCCACACCCCGCGCTCGCCATGATCTGCCGGTCAGCGTCATGAATGCAAGCTCGACATCCTTTTCGCGGAACCCCCCTCCCGCCCGCGGCTCGTCGCACTTGAGTTCCCGTCTGTCCTATGCCGTTTCCCAGGCCGAGCAGGGCGACGTAATCGACGATGACGATGACGACGAGAATCCGCGAGCGACTGCCCAGATCCAGGAGGAGCTCGCCGAGATCAAACGATATGAGGTGTGTATTTCTGGCAGAATCATCCCTCTCTTCCTCTCATCAATCAAATTCTCTCGTTTCCATGACTGACCCTCATCTTCCATGCGTAGGACTTTTCGACAATAGGTACAATTTACCCGATCCGCTACAAAAAAATAAATTGAAATAAAGAACAAAGACAAGGGGGAACACCGATGCGCCGAACAGTTACTCTGACATATATATATCCTCGCAGATTGGGTGCAAGACTCCGTGAGAGAACAGACCAGACGCAAGGCCAGGAGGAGGAGAGCCGTTGGACTGTACAACCGGGGCTCGTCGGGATGGCGCTTCCGTCTCTGGGAGTCATATGACGCTGCCCAGGGTTGGATAGTCGTCACCCTAGTCGGCATCGCCATTGGCTTCAACGCCGCCCTGCTAAGTATCATCACCGAGTGGCTCTCCGATATCAAGCTCGGTCACTGCACTACCGCCTGGTACCTCAATGAGAAGTTTTGCTGTTGGGGCGAGGATAGCGGTACGTCGGCACCACCACATGACATGCGTACCCCCTCGACTCGAGCTGACCCTCTGTACAGGATGCACCGAATGGCAGCACTGGACCGGGTTCGAACCCTTCAACTATGCCATCTACATTGCCTCTGCTGTATGTTTCCCGAATCCCCTGTCCAGCGCCTTGCGCGCCCTCCGAATATATACGGCTGACCCTTGATTTACAGACATTCTTCGCATTCGTCGCCGCCACCCTAGTCAAGACTTTCGCACCCTATGCCGCCGGCTCCGGCATATCCGAAATCAAGTGCATCGTCGCCGGCTTCGTCATGAAGGGCTTCCTAAGCGTCCAGACGCTCGCCATCAAGTCGCTCTGCCTGCCGCTGGCCATCGGGTCTGGGCTGTCGGTCGGCAAGGAAGGCCCTACCGTGCACTACGCTGTGTGCACCGGCAGCGTCATATCCCGGCTGTTCAACAAGTACCGGCGCAACGCGTCCAAGACGCGCGAGATACTGAGTGCCAGCGCCGCGGCGGGTGTGGCCGTGGCGTTCGGCAGCCCCATCGGCGGGGTGCTCTTCTCGCTAGAGGAGATATCCAACTACTTCCCGCTCAAGACCATGTGGCGCAGTTACTTTTGCGCCCTGGTGGCGACGGCGGTGCTGGCGGCCATGAACCCCTTCCGCACCGGTCAGCTCGTCATGTTCCAAGTCTCGTACGACCGCGAGTGGCACTTTTTCGAGATCGTCTTCTACATCCTTCTCGGCGTCTTCGGCGGCCTGTACGGCGCCTTCGTCATCAAGTGGAACTTGCGCGTCCAGGAATTCCGCAAGAAGTACCTGGCCAAGTACGCCATTCTCGAGGCGCTGTTGCTGGCCTTCTTCACGGCCATTGTCGCTTACCCCAACGCTTTCCTGCGCATCGAGATGACGGAGAGCATGGAGATCCTCTTTCTCGAGTGCGAGGGCACCGAGGACTACGACGGGCTGTGTCAGCCGGACAAGCGCTTCGAGAACATTGTCTCGCTGGCCCTGGCCACGGCCCTGCGCATTTTCCTTGTCATCATCTCGTACGGATGCAAGGTGCCGGCGGGCATCTTCGTGCCGTCCATGGCCGTCGGCGCCTCCTTCGGCCGCGCCATGGGCATCGTCGTTCAGGCCCTGCACGAAGCGTCGCCGGATAGCGCCTTCTTCGCGGCCTGCAAGCCCGACGAGACGTGCATCACGCCGGGGACGTACGCCTTCCTGGGGGCGGCGGCAGCCCTCAGCGGCATCATGCACATCACCGTCACCGTCGTCGTCATCATGTTCGAGTTGACGGGTGCGCTGACGTACATCCTGCCCACCATGATCGTCGTGGGCGTCACCAAGACGGTCAGCGAGCAATTCGGCAGCGGCGGCATAGCGGACCGCATGATCTGGTTCAGCGGCTTTCCTTTCCTTGACAACAAGCACGAGCACAACTTTGGCGTGTCCGTGTCGCGCGTCATGCGCACGTCTGTCGTGACCCTGCCGGTCGACGGCATGACGTTCCGAGAGCTGGAGAACCTCCTATCCGACGACAAGTACCAGGGCTTCCCCGTCATCGAGGGCAGCGCCGACTCGTCGTCCAAGAAGATCCTGGTCGGCTACATCGGCAGCACGGAGCTTCGGTACGCCATCGATCGCATCCGCCGCGAGCGGCCCCTCAACCCCGACGCTCGGTGCCTGTTCGCACCACCGCCGCCGCCAAACCACGCGACCGGCGCCGCGGCGGTGCCCATGACGCCCACCGTCACCGTCAACATCGACTCCATGGCCTCCACCACGCTCGACTTCAGCCGCTTCGTCGACGCCACCCCGGTCACCGCCCACCCCCGCCTCCCCCTCGAGACCGTCATGGAGATCTTCCGAAAGATCGGTCCCCGCGTCATCCTGGTAGAGTACCAGGGCCAGCTGACAGGTCTCGTCACCGTCAAGGACTGCCTCAAGTACCAGGTCAAGGTCGAGGCCGCCGAGAATCCCAAGGATAACCACCGCATCGTCGAGGGTGAGGAGCAGCTCTGGGCCATCATCCGACGGGCCAGCTCCTGGGTCTCGGCAAAGGTCTTCAGCCTGTCTGGCGGGCGTATCCGTCTCGATGAGCGTCATGACCTGCATCACAGCGATGTCTCGGGCAGGGACGAGTCGATTCTGGATGGTACGGAGGATCTTCTAGATGAGGGTGTTGAACTTGAGACTCGATGATTCTATCTAGTCCGTATCCGTCTGCTCTCTCCGCTTGTTCTCCTCTTCTTTCTCTAATTCTTGGGGCGTTCTTTGTTTGGCTTTTTTGTGTGTGTATGGCCTGTTTTCCCTGCTACTGCTCGTTTTCTCACCTTTTGGACAATGCCTTCTATAGAAAGTACTAAATATTATATCCCTCGTGCGCGTGCCATCATCTCTACTACCTCCTGTCCTCTGTCAAGTCACCTAGATCAACTACGTCTTCGTCCGCCGCGGTGGCAACGGGTGCGTACCCGTCGCCACGGCTCCCTGCCGGGACACTGCTGCCGCCCTCTGCCTCGTCCAAGCTGGGAGAAGACTCATCCTTGCGTCCGATGATGACGTTGCCGATGACGAGCAGGGCCGCCCCGGCCCACCACATTCCCGGGAGAGACTCGGAGAAGATGATGGACCCGAGGAAGGCTGTCAGGATAAAGTTGGCCGACGTGTTCATTATGGAGACTTGGGTCGTCGAGGTGCCCTTTGCCAGGGCCGTGGTGAAAAGTGACCACATCTAAATTTTCTCCCCCCCCAGTTATCAGCTGCTTTCCTTTTTTTTTTTCGTTCTCACCTTTCTTATCTCCCTTGCATGAGGTGTCTGCTTACAACGGCGTTGAATGCCAGGTTCAAGGCGAAAAAGGTCTGATCGTATAGCTGTCAGTAAAGAAAGGGGGAGAGAATGGTTCAGAGAGAAGAAACCTACAGCTCGAAAGAAGACCTCGACTGCACCCTCCATGGAGGAGAGACCGACGAAACCGGCTATACCCTTGGATATATTTGTCGTGAGGGTCGTTGTCGTCCTGAGACTTCTGTCAGCATGTCATTGAACATAATGATGACATCCAATTGACACACACGAAGACGTGAGAGCAGGCCATGGAATACTAGCAGTATAGAGAATACACACAACACTCCATGTGCTAATAGGGGAGAAGGGCAAGAACAGCTTACAACTTGGCAAAGACCCCGTTGAATGCAGCACACGCTCCGCTGGCAACGGCAAACAGCATCCACTGTGCACGTATGCTCCATGAACCGATACCGCCGCCGCCACCGCTGACGTGCAGGCCATTGTCCGGCATTGTTACCGTGTCCTTCTTTGTGTCTGCTGTGCCTAGTGTATGCGTGAAAGTGGATGAGGACGTGTGTTGCTGTTGCTGTTGCTGTTTCTTGCGCTGACGAGCCATGTCGAGAGCAAGGAGAGGGTTTGGGTGGGTGAGTGAGGGAGCTCCTCTGGCTGTGACGTGGGACCGAGAGGACCCGTAGTAATCCGCTGGCTGCACAGTGGTTGGCGGGCCTCGGAATATGGCAATTAATCATTGATGGGGGAGTATTTCAACCACAATGCAGCTCCAGGGCGTTCAGATGTGGAAGATAAAGAGCATCTTGAATCAATCTATATTTCCCCTTTTTAATTTTTATTTTGTTTAACTTGGTATGTGCTCTTTTTTTTCCCGGGTAGTGCACACTGTAGTCAAGTATTATTTGCCAAGCATATTCATTCTTTCCCCCTAAGCTTGGTCGTTGAAGATGTGCTTTGAGCCTTGTATCTTGATGTTTTTGAGATGAGATGAACGCAAAGAAATAGAAAAATAAAAGAAACAAGCCAAGGATTAACTGTTGAAACGCCGTCCCGATGCATAATTCATCCCAAGGGGGAGACCCAAGGCCTATTGCACAGCATATCTCCTCTGTCTCCGACCACAATATTCATCCATCCATCCCATCGAACTCCCTCCCTGGCTATCCCTACTTAGCAGAGTACAGCAGCAGCAGCCTAGAATCAATCAAGGACCCTCGCCGGGCTTCTTGGCGTTACAGCTGACAATCTTGACCTTGTCAGCGTGGACAGGGGGGTTTCCATTATCCATCTTGAAGGAGACATTCTTGATGAGGAAAGTCCAAACTTCGTCGCAGAACCGGTACGTGTCGAGGCTTCCCTGTGAGCGCATCGCATATGACATTAGCCACGAGCCTACTCCAAAGATAAATGTAGAAGGGAGAGATAGAGAGAGATAAAGTACCTTGAAAGAGAGCTTGTTTTTGACATTCTTCTGTAGCACCTCGGTAATAGCCTGGTCAAAGTTGCCGAGAATCTTCATGGCCAGCTGCGGGTTGATGCGCTCGTCGCTAATGAGGTCATCGAGCGTGTCTGTCAGAGCGAGCCCAATGCTGTTGATGCGCAACTGTGTGTTTAGCCAATTTGGTTCTCTCGTCTGTGTAGCATTGGTTTGACTAGTACCTGCTCCGACGGTACAGCTCGTAGAATGATTGTCCGCCCGTGGCCATATTGTCTGCCCTGCGTTTCCTTTGTTTGTAGTTCTCGGTTCTCTCTCTCTCTCTGTGCACGCAAGTCTCTTATTTTGTAGCCAAAGAGACGTCCAAGAATCAGGCGTTTTATCGTTTGATCGTCACCCTCCGAGATGGGTAGGTGAAAAAGGAGCGACTGCCGGGTTAGAAGCCGAGTTGAAAGTGAGGTCTGGTTTGCCTAGTCATGGGGGAGGGGATAATGACAAGCACTAGTATAATGCGGGTGGCGTTAAATAATGACTAAGCCCATGTTGGAGCAAAGCAAAGCCACGACACAGGCACGTCATGTGACTGATCTACTGGAATCTCTCCCCCCAATTTGGCCGGCAGCTGCAACGAATGATGCCTCATTCCCCATTGAAAGTTGTCGCGACAGCCACGCCAGCTCCATCCAACGACCCCCCCCCCCCCCCCCCCCCCCCCCCATCGACAGCAAACACTCGGCTTCCCTTCCACCCCGACCCCGACCTCATCGTTCCATTTTCCTGCCCTCACGACAGAATACGAATATTGAATCATGAGTCTGAAATACGGAGTCGGCGGCGTCGGCTCGTTCCTGACCCTCGCGGGAGCTTGTACGTTTTAATACCAACACGTCAGGAGAACAGTTCCATGACCCCAATTCGATGCGGAGGAAACAAAGATGAAATTCCAAGGCAACACTTGCTGACCTCTCCTCGTGTGTGTGTGTGTGGTGGATAGATATGCTGTTCACCGGCAGCGGCGAGTCCTTCAATGTCGGAGAGTTTCTCGAGTCTGTTTCCCCCTACGCTTGGGCTTCTATTGGTATTGCCTTGGCCATTAGTCTGTCTGTCGTCGGCGCAGCATGGTATGTAGCTCCTCCTGCTCCATCTATTTGTATCAGTGGGAAGAGGAATGGGGATGGAGAAGAAACAAGCGTTGCACATGAGGCTAACTAAAAGGCCTTCTAGGGGCATCTTTATCACCGGCTCGTCTATCCTCGGTGGTGGTGTCAAGGCCCCTCGCATCCGCACAAAGAACCTCATCTCCATCATTTTCTGCGAGGTCGTCGCCATCTACGGCGTCATCATGGCCATCGTCTTTTCCGCAAAGGTCAGCGCCGTCACGGGCGCTGAGCTCTACTCGGCCGACTCATACTACACCGGCTACGCCCTCTTCTGGTCCGGCATCACCGTCGGCCTGTGCAACCTCGTCTGCGGTGTGTCTGTTGGTATCAATGGCAGCGGTGCTGCTCTTGCTGACGCTGCGGATCCCACTCTGTACGCATTTTCTCCTACGCCCTAAGCTTTATCCCTTGCTGTTCCCATCTGCTAACACCGCTTGCCAAACAGATTTGTGAGGATTCTTGTCATTGAGATCTTCAGCTCCGTTCTCGGCCTGTTCGGTCTCATCATCGGCCTTCTTGTCTCCAGCAAGGCTCCCGAGTTTGGAAAGAACTGATAAGCTTCTTCTTCAATCGGGTTCATGCAAGCAGAGTCTTGAATCATGCTACACGATCACCAGGACGGAGAGAGGGAAAGAGACAGAGTTTTGTAAGCTAAAGTCCTCGGCTTTCTTCTTTTTGAAAAAAGGACAGAGTGAAAACCACCATGCATCGCGCCAGATTATCTTGTTCATTTTATTTTATGTCACTTTTTTCTTGGTCTGGCGTTCGGAAGAGACGGAGGGGTAGGCTAATTTGAGGAGACGAAGAGGCCTTGTTTTGAGATATCAACATGTACAAGTAACTAGATGTGCTCATGCTGAAGAGCATCTCCAGCTGAAGTTTACCAGGGCACAGCATCGACAGGCAGGCAGCGTCGAAACAAACTTTTTTTTTTTTTGAAAGGATCGACTTTATTGATATGATATATATGCAAAAGGCTCACCCACCGGAGGCCATTACCTCCTTCCGGATATTTGCGAACCACGGGGGGATCATGCAGGCTGGATAGGTCCCATGATGAGGGCCTCAACCCTGGCTCCCTTTTCCAGCTTTCCCTTGCCGCTGGGCATGCACACGAGGGCATTGGCAGACCTCAGGCTTCCAACTTTGGAGCTGCGCTGACCGCCCGTGCTGCTTGCAGACAGAAGGCCGTCCTTGCCGACGGCGACAACAGCACGGTGGTATTCTGGGCGAGGGTCCATGGGGAAGTCGTGGGCCAGCGTGACGGGCACCTTGGGCAGGCCGACAGGACTGGTGCCCGACAGCTTGTGCAGGGCCGGCAGGACGAAGAGGTGGAAGGTGACGAGGGCAGAGGCCGGGTTCCCGGGCAAGCTGAAGACGAGCTTCTGCTGGCGACGCCCACCGCCGGAAATGTCTTTGACGGGCACGGTGGCGAAGGTGGTGGGCTTGCCGGGCTTCATAGCGACGCGGCCAAAGTGGATGGTACCGCCCAGGTTGCGCTCGACGGTCGGCTTGAGTAGATCCAGCTCGCCCATGGACACGCCACCCGTGGTGACGACGACGTCGGCGCGGCGCATGCCGTCGCGCAGCGTCTCCTCGAGCCGGCGGGACTTGTCGCGCGCGATACCGAGGTCTACCACCTCGTAGCCCGACTCGGCCACGGCCGACATGAGCGTTATGCGATTGGTGTCGCGCACCTCGCCCATGCGGAGCGCGCCGGGTCGCTCGTCAAACTCGACAATCTCGTCCCCCGTCGACAACACACCCACAACCGGACGTCGATATACCGAAACCGATCCCACCCCCACCGCCGCCAGGAGACCAATCTCCCCGCCCACGCCGGATATCCTCTCGCCCCGGCGCAGCACCGTGCTCCCCGCCTCCACGTCGCTGCCTACCTCGCGCACATTCTCGCCCGGCTTGACCCCCTCCACTTGCATGCTTACCTCCTTCTCCTCCATGCCGTCGTCTGTCATGCTCTTGAGCGTCGTGTCCTCCACCATGATGACCGACGTAGCACTTGGGGGCAGAGGCGCTCCCGTCGTGATGCGCGCCACTTCACCTTCCTTGAGTTGACCCATCTCTCCCGGTGCGGCGTGAGACACCCCCGTCACGGGGAACGTACCCTTCAAGACACCATCTGCTGGGACCACAACGGCATACCCGTCCACGATGCTCGCGCGAAACGCGGGCACACTCTCCTTGGCTTTGACATCCTCGGCCAGCACGGCCCCGACAAGCGACCTGTTGACTGGTACCGTGACAACCTCGGGCTCAGGAGTGTTATCTGAGATGAGTGACAGTGCCTCGTCGACAGACCTCATGGGGTACGGGGACTCGCGGTATCGTCTGGTGGGGCCCAACTGGGGGTCATTGGAGAGGTGGTTGCTTTTCGCATCCGCTGGCTTAGTGTGCCTGACGAGACCGGCACCATGGCCGTGCCCGTGGTGATGGTGGCCATGGCTATGGTGGTTGTGACCATGCTCCGCTTCCTTCTCGAGCCTCTTGACGCCACCGGCGTGAAGGGATCTAGAGTCGGCGCCTGCCGCTTGTAGACAGGCGTGTGGGAGAGTCTTGATGACGGCCTCCAGGTTCTCCCGTGCTCCCTTGGGCGAGCCGGGCAAGGTGACGACGACGGTCGATTTTCTGACTCCGCAGACGGGGCGGGACATCATAGCAACTGGCACTGGGTGTTAAGACATATTGTGATGAGAGGAAGGGGGAGGGGGGGCTGGCTTACAGGGCGTCACTGACAGCGAGGCGGCAAGCATAGCGTGGACCAAGCCCGGCGCTTCCTTGTGCAGCAGCGGCGATACAGCCTATTATATGATTCGATTAGAGTATATTCATCTCATCTCCTCACAGACAGAGGCTGCAACCTGCCTCAGGTGTTTCGTCAGACACGGCAAACCCGGTGCCTCCAGTGGTGACAATGAGGTTGGGGGCGTCAGACCCGTCCGTCCAAGCCATGATCTGCCTCTGAATAGCAGGGACGCTATCTGTCACGATGGCGCTCTTGGGGGGGTGTTCCCATTTGCCGGGTCCCTGGTCCTGCAGAACATCCTGCAACACTGCGACGGATGCATCAGTCGTGGGGTCCTTGGCAGCCGTAGTCGAGATGACGAGGATAGCCGCCTTGAGAGGATTGGTGGACATGGTGGGTTCGTCACGGCGAGATGCAAATGCGCGTATATATATATATATATGTAAATTCTTACAAAGTGGTTTAAAAAAGGGCCAAGTACCGTTTTATCCTCAGGGAAAGAAAAATAAACGACGTTGTCGCTGTCGTCGTCGTCGTTGTCGCTGATTGTTGATGATGTCGTGTGAGAGTAATATCCAACTCTTAGTGGCGCGTGCCCCACATTCAAATATGACGACTAAACCGCTTTTTTCCATCCAATAAACAGCATCTCCTTCTCTTGTCACCTACTCATACTTGGCATTGCTCCCTTCAAACTCTTCAGCCCCCCATTCCAGAGCGCGCAGATCGACGGGCAAAAATGGTCAGACTAAAGGAGAGATATCTCTTGGTCAACATCGTCTATCTGCCCGATGCAGGATCTGCCAGTGGTGGTGGCAGCGTCCCCAACCGCGTCGTGCAGCACCGACCGACTACTGACAAGCTCACGCATCAGACTCTGCTCAAGGCCATCAGGGCGGAGATTGCGACGCTCTTTGGTGAATATGGATCTGGTGCACTAGATGGAACGATTTGGGGTATGCTCCAGTCTCATTCATCCCTTGCTTTACTGCCCCTTGCTCACACGAATGCCCCTCTACAGTCAAGTACTTGTCTCTTGCGACATCCACCTTCATCATTCGCTGCCCCAGAGCTCACTACCAGATGCTCTGGGCCGCTTTGACCTTTATGGACCATGTTCCTGCCAAAGATGGCCGTGGTCAGCCGTGCATCTTCCGCGTTGTACGCGTCAGCGGTACTATCCGCAAGGCAGAGGAGGAAGCTATTCGCCAGGCTAGGATGCATATTCTCGCTGCTGAGGCAGAACATGCGCATTCTTTATTCACGTCTACATTGTCATCATCACTGCCGGACACTTCCGGTTCCGATGGGCGTGAGTCTGTGGCAATGGATGTCACGGATGACGAGAGCGACGACAATGACGAGTCTATGATGGACGCCGACGGTTGAAAAAAAAATATGGCATTACTTCTTCCTTACTACCCGGATGCCGCTGTTGGCAGGCATCGACATGTCGCCAAAGTCGGGATCCATCATCATGTCTCCTGAGCTGGGTTGCGGTGCACTGGGGTGTGGCGGTTCAAACTCCATGCCGTCCTGCTCGCCCCGCAGCGCAGCCTGCTTCTCGTCGGCTTCCCGCTCCTCCCGGTCATAAGCTTCCTTGTTGTCGATCCACCGCTCCTGTATATCTTGGACATCCATCATCGAGCTCTCGTTACGCATGGCCACGGCCCAGATGGTGTCGTTGGCACCCTCGGCCCCACCAAAGATGTATCCGCCCGCCCGATCTATCACGCGCAGCAGGTGCATCATGCTCTTCTTGTTCTCAACAGCGAGCACCTCATACCGAACCAGGCCGTAGCTGTCAATCATGTTGGAGATGGCTTCGTTGAGCTTGCTAAACTTGCCGGTGCGCATAGCCGGGGACTCGTCCTCGAGAGCCGGCGTAAGATACGTTAAATCATCGACGTCGGTGTAGTAGTCGAGGTTGAAGGGGAGGCTGTCGTATGTGTGGACCTTGTCAATCTTGGACAGCACGTTGACGTGCGGCATGTCCATCTGGATCATGGCTCGGAGGGATAGGAGGACGTTGGAGATGTATAGCGACGGCTGTGTGAGGCAGATGGAATCGGACAGGTGGACGCATACAAACTGTGAATCAACGCGTTAATCGAGCCATCTAACTTGAGCCAAGAGCAACAATCCCGAGCAACCTACACGAAAGTTGAGCTTCTTCTCGAGCCGCGAAAAAATGTTTCGCAACGAGTTGTGATGTGTGTACAGTTCTACCTGACCCGGACAGTCAAAGATGATATAATCCTGGTCAAACTCCTTGAGGCCATTCTCGAGCCACTCGAAGTTGTGCTCCAGCTCCTCGAGGGCATACAAGATGCCGCCGTTGGGTCCGAGCCGCTCTTCCTTCATCACATCCTCGAGCTTGACGAGGGATCGAATGTCGAGGGCAACCGGGTAGCTTGTGTGGTCGTTGGCAGGATCGAGGTTCACGACGGAGCATGCACGCCCGATGGCACCCATGAACTGGTGCACTAGAGGTATTACTGTCAGATATACGCACACATGACAAGAGGATGACCAGAAGAAAAGTCGAGCTCACTGCCATCGCAATAGGTGCTTTTGCCGGAGCCCGGGCTACCGAGGACAAGCTGAGCGAAGGGCATAGGGAATGTACCAGTCGGACAGAGGGGGGTTAGAAATGAGAGAGTTGCGTATCAAGGGGACATTGTCGAAGCCAGCATCGACAGTTTGGAAGCGCAGCCTCGTTTCTTGTTGTTCTAGGCCGAGTCGGACGATATCCTTGTCGTGACAGTGATACAACCCCACCAAAAATCGAAGTTCTTTAGCAGAACGGTACGTACCGGTTGAATACGACGGGGTGGTGATGGTAGTGGTGGCGGGGCGAGCCTCCCGGCGTAACTGTCGGCCCGCCTAAGAACCACGGCAAAAGCCCCCTGTCCGCTGTGACGAAAGGTGGGTCTCTTCTTTTTTGGAAAATCATAAATGGCAAGCTCTTCTTTCCTGAAAGCCTGGATTCTTAATCATTAAAATTCTTCACCCCTCAAGCTTCGAATCGCACAGCGGCAAAGCAGAGCCCCCTGCGCTCAAGAGCCACTCAGCTCTCTGCATAATGCTGCGTTCCTGTATAACTATTCAGCCATGGCATCTGGCTTCTCGTCAAATGCCGTCGACGTGGCTGGGGACCTGCACCCCAGCAGCGTCTCCCTCACGGCTGCTGCCATGAGTGCGGCCACGCAACAGATGACGGCCGCTGGACAAGAGGCTCCCACCGGATGGTTGGGCCTTTTCGGTTGGAGCATCTATGTTATCCTCAACCTCGTTTCCATCATCCTGTACTGGGTTTTGCGCATTGCAACTATTAATATTCCCACCTTTCTCTTTACACTATTCTCTACTAGCTGGACCATAACCATGAACGCTACCACACTGTGAGTCTCAGTTCCCAAAAGCCGGGTTGCACATGTGCTGACTGATTCTTTCAGAATGTTCGTCATGGCTGCTGTTGTCTCAGTTGTTAGTTGGGTTGTTCGCTACAGAATACTCAACATGTACTCGAGGTTGCCTCCGGAACCTCAGCGCAAGGAACCCGAAGTCGACCTGTTTCCTGACACGCATGATGAAGGCATCAAGGCCGGCCTCTCCAGCTACCTGGACGAGTTTCTCAGCGCCATCAAGATTTTCGGCTACCTTGAACGGCCCGTCTTCCATGAACTAACTCGCAGCATGCAGACGCGTAAGCTGATTGCCGGCGAGACTATCAACCTCGAGGAGGAAAAGGGCTTTTGCATCGTCGTTGACGGTCTCGTTGAGATCTTCGTCAAGTCCGGTATCCACTCGCGATCTCCCGATGGCGACTTCGCTGACGGCCACGAGGACGACGATGATGCCCCTCCGGGTCACCAGAAGTACCAGCTCCTTACTGAGGTCCGGAACGGTGCGCCCATGTCGTCGCTCTTCTCCATCATGTCCCTGTTTACAGAAGATGTCAAGCTCCGCCCTCCGGGAGAGGAAGAATCGCCCCCCATGCCCCCTGTGACGCCTTCGCGACACTCGCGTCGTCATCACAGTTTTCACAAACCCGAGGGCTTTGGGGTTTCTGGCCTGGGCATGTCTGTTTCTTCCACGCCTCATCCGGCCGACCCGTCTCACCAGGCTGAGCCTCTGCCGGATGAAGAAACGAGCACTTCAAAGATACCCCCGATGTCGTTGGATGGACACCAAACGGGGCGCCGTCCTCAACTGCCCCACAGGCAGACTACCAACTCGGCCCATCCAGACATCATAGCCCGTGCAACTGTCGATACTACCATTGCTATCATCCCGGCCAGCGCATTCCGCAGGCTCATCAAGGTCTATCCGAAGGCGACCGCACATGTTGTCCATGTCATCCTTTCGCGGTTCCAGAGAGTCACACTGTCTCATGCCTTCAACTATCTCGGCTTGACAGGCGAGGTGCTCCGAACTGAGAAAAACATGATCAACTACACCGTCTGCCAGCTTCCCAACATCCTGAGAGGCGAGGCTTTGTCTCGACTCAAGGAGAAGTTCAGCCGCGAACGAGAACGAATCAGTGAAGGCGAAGGGTCTAAGGGAATCGCACTGCATAACCCGGCTGCCCGCCCAGGGCGTCGGAGGTCTAGCACGACCCTGCGTAAGGAGGCTGTGCTCCATGCCATGTCTAAGAGACAACCCACTTTCCCTCTGAATAGAACGACCTCGACACACGGCTCGGCCGGCTCAGCCGGCCCTGGAGACCTGTTGACCAGCATCCAGACCGCCCGGGGAGGTGGCCGTGCAGCATCCAGCGAATTACGGCATGAGGATTCGCTCGATATTGATTCCAACAAGGATGTCAGCCCTCTGGCCCAGAGATCGTACAATCCCTTTGATTCTCGTGGCCAGAGCCGAATTCCTCTGGAGCCCCGCGAGACGATAGACGAGGACAGCATATTCAGGATGGCCATCCTCGAATGCATGTTCAAGTCACTAGGCTTAGATGGTGGGAGCTCTGCAACACCGCAACCCGAGTCCACAGATGTATCGCCGAGGCTCGTTGCCCTCGATTCGAGACGAGGAAGGGCTCTGTACACAAACAACACCAACAACGCATTTGGGTCTATCGGTCCCTTCGATGGCTCGGTAGATGGTGACTCGGAATCTGTCACGTCCAGCGGCGTGGCGTTCAATTCGGCACCTAGTTCTCAAGCTCTGTCTCAAGAGCTGATGGATGAGGTTGAGATTGTCTTCTTCCCCAAAGGTTCTGTTCTGGTCGACCAGGGCGAGCGAGCTCCTGGGCTATACTACGTCATCGATGGATTTCTGGACATCGGCACCACGTCGCCTAGGGACTCACAGAATATCTTGTCCACGGCCCCCGCAGAGAAATTATCAACCCAGTCCTCGACTCCGGAGATGCCTCATTCGGAAACATTCCCGACAATGGATGAGAAGGGCGAAGCCCATTCGAAAGCGCGTGGCAAGAAGGGTGAGGCTCTCCGCCGCCGCAGCGTCGCTCTGGTCAAGCCTGGCGGACTTGCTGGATATGTCGGCAGCGTGACCTCGTACCGATCGTTCATTGACGTGGTGGCCAAGACAGACGTTTACGTTGGCTTCCTTCCACGGGCATCCCTCGAGCGCGTCGTCGACAGGTACCCCATCATCCTCCTCACCATGGCAAAGAGGTTGACGCACACCCTGCCTCGCTTGATACTGTATATTGATTTCGCCCTTGAGTGGGTCCAAGTCGATGCTGGTCAGGTTATCTTCCATGACAAGGACGAGAGTGATGCCATCTACATCGTTCTCAATGGCCGTCTTCGTCTGGTTGAAGAGAAGAAAGAAGGGGGCATCACCGTCCGCGCCGAATTTGGTCAAGGCGAAAGCGTGGGCGAGCTTGAAGTCCTGACCGAAACGGCTCGAGCCGGAACTCTGCATGCTATTCGGGACACAGAGGTGGTCAAGTTTCCGCGTACCTTGGTCAACAGCCTTGCTCAGCAGCATCCGAACATCACCATCAAGATCTCCAAGATCATTGCCTCACGCATGCGGGCCATGCTTGATGATCCCGCTCTGCACCTGGACAAGGAGAGTGGCACCAGCCCCAACCAGAGCCAGAGAGAGGCAACGATGAACCTGCGTACCGTCGCCATCTTGCCCGTCACAGCAGGTGTTCCCGTGGTCGAATTTGGCCACCGTCTCATGAACGCTCTCGCCCAGGTCGGGCCACCCAACGGGGCCACTTCCCTCAACCAAGCTGCTATTCTGAAGCACTTAGGCAAGCATGCGTTCAACAAAATGGGCAAGCTGAGGCTGTCCCAGTACCTTGCCGACCTCGAGGAGAAGTACGGTCTTGTCGTATACGTCGCTGGTAAGATCACCCCTCTGCACTCTATATCTCTTCTTTCTCGCCCCACATTCTGTTTTTTGCATGATGAACAAACCCTATGTCCAAAGGCACAGCCGCTGATGGTACATGTTAACTCTAATTTTTTCCTGATCTCTAAAACCTCGTTTCTTGTTATGTTTCTCAGATTGTGATGGATCATACATGTTTTTGCTGACACAATACTCGGCGCAGATACCAATGTCAACTCGCCATGGACACAGACTTGCATTTCCCAGGCCGACAGTATCCTGCTAGTCGGCCTGGCGGAAGGCTCGCCGGCGATTGGCGAATACGAACGTTTCATGCTAGGCATGAAGTCGACAGCTCGCAAGACAATGGTACTACTCCACACGGAACGATATTCTCAACCAGGGCTCACCAGGGCGTGGCTGAGGAACCGTATGTGGATCAACGGTGGACACTTCCACGTCCAGATGGCATTCAGGATGAAGGAGGTTCCTGTACATCCACCGTTCAAGAAGCTAGGCCTAGCTCTCAAGGAAAGAGTCCAGGTGCTTCAGGCGGAGATCCAGAAGTACACGTCGAGAAAACTGCACCACGCACCGTACTACTCCCCCGACACCCCCCTCAAGGGAGATTTCCATCGACTGGCCCGGAGACTCTGTGGCAAGTCGATTGGCTTGGTCCTTGGCGGAGGTGGTGCTCGCGGTATCAGCCATATTGGCATTATCCATGCACTAGAGGAGGCGGGCATACCGATCGACGTCGTCGGAGGCACTTCTATTGGATCGTTTGTGGGTGCCTTGTATGCTCGCCATGCAGATGTTGTGCCCATGTTTGGATTTGCTAAGAAGTTTGCTGGTCGGATGGCAAGCTTGTGGCGGTTTGCCCTGGACTTGACGTACCCATCGGCATCCTACACGACGGGTCACGAGTTCAATCGCGGTATCTTCAAGGCTATGGGTGACACACAGATCGAGGATTTTTGGCTCGAGTACTACTGCAACACGACCAACATCAGCAAGAGTCGAGTCGAATTCCACACCAGCGGCTACGCCTGGAGGTACATCCGAGCGTCCATGTCGCTGGCCGGTCTGCTGCCTCCATTGTGCGACGAAGGGAGCATGCTCCTCGACGGTGGATACGTGGACAACCTAACAGTGTCGCACATGAAGTCTCTGGGCATCGACATCATCTTCGCCGTGGACGTCGGCGCCATCGACGATAATACGCCCCAGACTTACGGAGATTCACTCTCTGGCATGTGGGCTTTCTTCAACCGTTGGAACCCCTTTTCGTCGCACCCGAACCCGCCAACGCTAGCCGAGATCCAGGCCCGTCTGGCCTACGTGTCCAGTGTTGATGCTCTGGAGCGAGCCAAGACGATGCCTGGGTGTATCTACATGCGCCCGCCGATTGACGAGTACGGCACCCTCGAGTTTGGCAAGTTTGATGAGATCTACCGCGTTGGCCGTGAGTACGGCGAAGAGTTTCTACGAAAGCTCCGGGAGCGAGGAGGCTTCCCTATGATGGAGGAGACGGAGGCCAAGCAAGCATTACGTAGGACTACGGCGCCTAGACGCGCAAGCATTTAGGAGCCTTCACATTCGATGGGAAAGAACAATGGATCCCCGTTGGTTCTGCTGTCACCAGCTCCAGACTTGTTTGGAGCAAACGCAAACGCAAGATTGATGGGGCATGCAAGAGCCTCTATGAGCTTCTGGGCAGGACAATGCGGCAGCAGATGCTTTTGATACGCAGGCATTACGAGAACACGAGTAGCATTGGCAAGCAAGCAATACACTGGAATTTATCTTTCTTTTCTTTTCATTATTATAGTGGACACGATTATGAAGTGTACATGGTGTAATCTATACAAGATAGACTGCTCTGTGGCTGAAGCTGAGTGAATGGCAAGGCAAGACAGTATCATGAGTGTGCTCCGTACTCTCTACATTTCAAAATATAACACTGTGGCATACGTAGCCCGGCCGACCAACACTGGAGAAGAAGATGTCTTCCACAGAGAACCAGGAAGAAACGAAAGAGATGACATTCGAGCATAGGACATTAATCGATATCGAATCCCCTGTAGTCGTGACTGGTTAGCAGAGGAGGGGAGGAGGGGAGACGGAAAGAAGAGCGCACCGGTATATTCTATGAACGAAGGCGTACGCGCTGAGAAAGCCGATGGTGCAGGTGAGGAGGGCATACATGCAGCGTGCGACGAGGGTGACTTCTGCGACGGAGAGGGCGATGACGGTGGAGGCGGCGGCCAGGAAGCCGAATGACGTAACAGTAGCCGGTCCTGTCGTGCCAGACGGACTGCAGGACGTAGAGGAGCTCGACGGAGATGACGGCGAAGGGACGAGGCCGGCGAGCAGGGCGGACGAGACCAGACGCAAGCACCAAGGCTGAGGGGGGGGGGGGGGGGGGGGGGGGGCCTGGACGCACAGTCAGAAGGACAGGAGGGCTAGGCGGGAGTTCGAAGGCGCCGTGGTCGGCTACCGTGTCCGACACCTTGGTGCGGTCTCTCGGAAGCACCTTGCCCAAGTTGAGCGGGATTCTCTGCCCGCTCAGGAGGCCGGCCGACCCCGCCTCGTGCCGGCCCGCCGGCTGGCACAACGAACGGCGGGTCGTAGTAGCCGCCCCTGAAGCTCCGTCTCGTCAGAGTGCCGTCACCTGTTGACTAGCAGGGGGAGCTGCTGCCCGTCTGCGTAGCTCCTTGATGGACCAATCCTCTTCAGAAGCAAGTCTGTCAGCAAGTCGCACATTCTATCACCTTGGGCAGACGAAGAAGAGACTGACCTGGTATGTGTAGAATGCTTCCTTGGACAGGACAGACGACAGCCAGCAAAGTGAACCAGAGTGAACCAGCACGCCCAGGACCGTCTATAGGGCTCGAGGCATTCTGCCCCAAGCGCTCACCGAGTGTCACCGAGTGCCACCGAAGGCGTCGTGTCGTATCGGTCAGTCGCAAAAGAGGCACACCCGTCGAGGATATGTTATGTCAGGTGCTCTCGGGCTTCAATGGCTGATTTTGCTGGTGAGGGTTACTGCTACGCGTAGATTGTCATGTTACCATGGACCAAATTCCCGTAAAGGGCCTCACCCGTAACGGTGTTTGATGAACCTGTTTCTTACCCTGTCCTCCACTCGAGTGTACTCTACATCGCCCAGTTGATCCACCAAGTGCTGCTTCACGGCTAAGCCATATCTGTGCACAAGTACGTGACAGATCCACGACATCCAAGGTCTGGAGGGGGGGTGTCATCGACAACAAGAACAAGGTAGTCTGGCAAAATTCATATTCGTGCATGGTTAAAAGGCATGATGTCTGTCTGATGGGCAGATGAGTATTTCATTAATTCGTCATGAGTCATAATCACCGTCACAATGCACCAAAGTGTTATAGTAATAGTATCCATCAGTCATCGCAACTCCATTCCCAATATTACCATAGGTGTAGTATAAAACACGCACGCTTGAAAAGAAGAAGAAGAAGAAGAAGGGTGGGGGGGAATTCGTGCAACGCTGAAACATAGCAAATCCTTCACTTAACAGATCCAAGCGCCATACTGGAAAAAAAAAACCACACAAAAAGAAAAGGGGGTGGCGGGGTGCTAAATCAAAGCTTCTTCAATAAGCCGCAACCGACCGACCGGTGACGTCCCCGTAACCGGGAAGACTACCAGTCATCTGGGCCGGCCCGCGGGGCTGCCGAATGATACGCGGACGGAGGTACTCGTCGGCCTCTGCCTCCTCATCCTGGGCCACGGCAGACTCGAAGCTGGGGAGGGCATCGGGGCCGCCGGCTGGGTCGCCAACGCGGCTCTCGACGCCGAGCTGCAGCGGCACGTTGAGTGTCAGGGTCGTATTCGCGGGGCCGACGGACAGGACGAGCTGGAGCGTGTAGGTGCGGGAGATGAGGCAGTTGTAGAATGTGGGTACGAAGGCCTTCTTGTTGGAGATGGGTACGGAGACGGGGATGTCGATGCTCGCAGAGTAGCTTCTGCTGCGGCTGCTGCTGCTGCTGCTGCCCTTCATCTTGGTGGCGGTGGTGGCGGCGGCGGCGGAGGCGGCGGCGGCGTCGGGGGAGGACCCGCTCATGTAGCCCGAGTCGCGACGGGACTGCTCGACGGACCAGGCCAGCCTGTCCGGGCGGGTGGTGGCCAGGTTGGTGGTGACCGAGTAGGAGAGGATCTGGTTGTGGGTGTAGGTGGTCTTCGGCCCCAGGTTTGGCAGCACAGATGAGGGGGCGGAGCCGAAGAAGGTGGTCGACACGAGCTTGGAGGCGACCGAGTGGATCTTTGGGGGTGGAGGGGCGTCGGCGTCGGCGGCGGAGGCGGAGGCGGTCCAGCGCAGGCGGACGGTGGCCTCTGTGGGGTTGGCGCCGAAGCCGTCGGGGTGGATCATCAGGGCGCGCGGCTGGGCAGCCTCGACGGTGAGCTCGCCCGCCTTGGGACCGACGAGGTTCTTGCGGATGGGCTTCGTCTTGACGAGGCAGTAGCGCTCGTCGTGGCGGGTGACGGCCAGCGGGGGCTCCTCCGGGCTGGCGGGCAGGACCTTGATGATCTTCTTGGCCTCGGCCAGCAGGGGAGTCTCGATGGCGGCGGCGGCGGCAGTGGTGGTGGTGGTCCGGGAGGCTGCGCCGAAGAGGCGGGCGCGCACGGCGTACTCGACGTGCGTCACGTTGGGGGCCTGGTCGTCGCCGTCCCAGTAGCCCAGCGTGGGCGGGAGGCGGAGGTGCTGGTCCTGGACGGCCGGGGCGGTGCAGCCGTGGTCGCAGGCGTTGACGGTCAGCTGGTGGGGGACGACGAAGTCGAAGGGGACGGCGTACGTCCTGCCCGCCTCGAGCGTGCGGTGGCGGGGGAGGGCGTCGGCGGCGATGGGCATGCGCATCTTGATGAAGTTGCGCACCGCGCTCGACGTGTACGACTGCACGAAGTCGAGGCGGGTGGCGGTGGTGCCGATCAGGACCACGTCCACGCTCTCGAAGGGCGTGTCACGCTGGCACACGATGCTGACGCTGCCGCGCACCGTCGAACCGGACGTGTACACCCGCGCTGTGAAGTGCTGGTCCAGCCTGACGTCGACGGACACGGGGGCCGCCTTGGACCTTGCCGGTCCGCGGGAAGCGGCGTCGAAGACGTTGGACATGTCGTATCTCTCTCTATCGGGAGAGGGGGAGGAAGCACCAGAGGGCGTGAAGAGGAAGTTGTTGAGAGCTGTAAGCTCAAGAGATGATGTATTAGATGGATAGTATAAAAGGATGTGGGATGCGTGGACTTTTCTATATATATATAAGGATATATAAAGAGGGAAGAAGGAGGAGGAGGAGGAGGAGGAGGAGGAGAGGAGTGAGAAGAAGAACAAGAACAAGGACTAGAGAAGCCGAGGTGACAAGAATTCGAAGGTGGCAATGTGTAAGAGGCAGCCCAATAAGATGTTGATGATGGCGATGAAGTTGTTGATGATGCAATCCAACAAGACCAAGACGCGACTGGGAATGGGATGGACGTGTTATAGAAACACGGAGAGATACATCCGTCGGAACATGATGGGATGCTGGGGAAGAGGGATGTCCGTCTTCTTTATAATAACCAAGGGAAAGGGGGAGGGGGGGGGGGGGGGGGGGGGGGGGGGGGGGGGGGGGGGGGGGGGGGGGGGGGGGGGGGGGGGGGGGGGGGGGGGGGGGGGGGGTGGTGAGAGAGGAGAGAGTCCAGACGTGGTGTATAGAGAAGAAGAAAAAAGAGAGAGTGAATAGGCGTTTTACTGGGTATAGAGCGTGTGGATCTCGTTACGGATACACTTGTCGTTTTCTTTCCCCTTTCGACAGTATTACGAAGTATCAAACGTGGCTACCGCATATACATGTACGAGTATCGGTGGCAGTACTTGTACGGGTAGAGGAAGCTTATAAAGTATTCCCAACTCTCTGTGAAAAAAAGTCTTTGATAGTAACAGTACGAGCCGCATGAGTATACAACGATACATGTATGGATATATATATATATATATATATATATATGTATATATGTATATATGTATATATGTATATATGTATATATATTATTACTACATGCTGCTACTACTATTGCTACTGCATGCTACTGCCACTGCTGCTACTACTATTGCTATTGCTACTACAAACTACTACCACTACTATTACTATTACTATCACCACTACCACCACTGCTACTGCTAGATCTGCTACTAGATACTCCTACTAGATACCTACTACTGCTAATGCTCATTACCACTACTCAGTACTGCTACCGCTACCCAGTACTGCTACCGCTGCTGCTGCTGCCAAAGTACTAGCAGTACTTAAACCCAACCACCACACACACACACCCCCCCCCCTCCCCGTACTCCAAAGGCTCTGTATACGGAATACTGGGGATGGGGAGGCGTAACAAGGTCCCGAGGATGTCGATGGCGAGCGAATACTGGGTCTCGGTCGAATTTTTGTTACTTGAGAATATCTCCTAAATAGGAAAACATTCGGCAATTCGTGCGCAGTCACCCAAGAGCGTTTTGTTTCTCCTTCTTCTCCCCCTGTGAAAGTCACACCTCACCCTCCCCCTCTTCTCTTTCTCTCTGTCATTGAACGCACACCCCTCTCCCCGGCGGTTGGAGGAACCCTTCTGGCCCTCTTTCTTCTTCTTCCCCTTCCTCTCTTTTCTTTATTGTCACTGTTATTTTTATTTTTATTTTTATTCTTACTTTTCGCCCTGACAATCTTGAACTGAGAAGGAAGGATTGAGGAGGCTCTGACGAGGAGAGTGGGAGGAAACATGAACGTTTTCCTTCCTCTTTTCTTTTTTTAGGGGTTTTTTTTTTTTCTTGTTTTCCCCTCCAGAGCGGCAACTCGTTCTCTCTGTGTCTCCTATGACGCTGTTTTCAGCACATGTACGAGAGTATTCGTGAGTTGGAGGTGACTTTCTCGTAGTCGGCCTTGTATGACTACATAATACAGATTGCATGTAGTCATAGTATCCTGGCTGGTTATGGTGAGCTCAATATCATGCAAGGTACGTATTCGATGGTGGGGGGGGAGTCTTCCCACCTCCCACGGCGGCACCGGGAAGCGAAGGCATCGCCGTGCTGAGGTTAAACCCCAACCCCAACCAACCAACCAACCAACCCCCGTCGTGTAGCAAGGCATCATCAGCACGAGTTTCCTGAATCTTCTCTCTCTCTCTTCCTCCCACCCCCATCATCCAGAGTCATCACCTAACAAAAGGAAAGGCAACACGCGCACACACACATAAAGCCGATAGTAGATTTCTCCCCCCCCCCCCCCCCCCCCCCCCCATCCTTTCACACACCGCTCAGGAAGGGGAGAAGAGGGGAGGGGGGAGTCCGGACGGGTACGCCACTCTCCGACACCACGGGGTTAGCATGAGAGGTCCATGACGGACGATGAAGTATTCCAACCATAACGAGACACACGAGAGTTGAGGGGGGAGGAGAGAGAGAAACAGGAGCAGAGCAGACAAGGGGGAGGGGGGTGTATGTATTCCCCACCTCCTGGGTTCAGGTCCGACGAGAACGTGCCAGACTAGAGGGACAGAAGCTCATGGCCTACAACACCTACATGTGCATGTACAGGCAGGACGACAGGGAAACGGCCCTTGCTAGTTTCGGGTGGGAACCTAGTTCGGACCCCTCCACACCTTTTCTTTTTTTTTTCTTTTTTTTTTTCCTTCTTCTCCCTTCTTCTCTCTCTTTTTCTTTTCTTCATCTGAGTGTTCCGGGAGTTTCTGGACCATGGGGGAGGGAGGGGGGGGAGAGAAGAGAGAGGAATTCCTAGCACAATCCGCTCTCCCGTCTCTCACCCTCCATCTCCATCTCGTATTCTCTCTCGAGGAGAGGAGGAGAGAAGGAAGACGTCTTTTCCTTTTCTTCTTCTTCTATCGGGGCTTAGACTGGCCGATCCATTCGACCGTTTTTTTTCTTTCTCTTCTCCTTTTCTTTTTTTTTTCCGGTGAGGATGCGTAGAGTATGGAGGTCCGACGCAAGCAATGACACGATGGGCCGTGGTTAGAGCTTAATACCTACGTAGAGTCTAGCGGCTACGTGTAGCTCCCCCGACGCTTGCTGCCGACCTGCCTATTTACGTAGAGCGCGTTCTTTTTTTTTTTTATTCTTTTTTTCTCTTCTTTTTTTCTCTTCATTCTTTCTTCATCCTCCCATCTTTTCGTCTTCTTTCTGTTCTCTTCCCGAACCTGGGAAGGAATCTGAGAGAATCTGCTGGCAGGAGTAGAAAAGCTGGTAGGTAGACATTCCACCTTGTTTTGCAGGCACACGCGCATGATGGGGTGAAGGATGATGAATCATCGATCATGTTGTGAAATCGCCTTCTGTTTTCTTCCCCCCTTCTCTACTCTTGTGCATGATCGAGTATCATGTTATATGGTGTGGTCGGTAGAGAGAGAGAGAGAGAGAGAGAGAGAGACGAGGGGGAGGCATCCAGACTATCAAAGAGCAATCCGGCGGTATCACGCTAAGCTTCCAGTTGCATGAGGAAGATCCGGGGATTCACGTACTCGCCTCTATTGGAGGATAAGGGAGAGAGGTTTGGTGATAAAAGAGGTACCCGTATACCCTTGCTCTCCTGGTGTCGTCGACAGAGCCGACTGTGGACAGGCCTGTGGGCGTGCCCTGTAGGCTGTAGATACTCGTGCGTGCTGTGCAGGATCACTACGGCCGATACTACGGGCATGTACCTACATATCACTACGAGTAGATGACTAATACCAGATCATACCTGTATGGGCCCTGGGCCCTCTGCGGGTTTCCGTTCACAGGTGTCATCATGCAATACTGATCTGACCTAGACGGAGCCCACGGGAGTTCCTACCAGTTGGGAGCTGTCCTGTGTGCGCCGGGCCAAGCCCTGTGGCCGGTAGGTAGGCCCCTCCCTGTGTTGATAGGGTACACCACACCACGGAACCCGCGGGGGGGGGGGGGGGGGGGGGGTGATGGACGCCTGTCACTGCTCGTACCCGAACTGTGACCACCAAACTCGGTGAGCCTGCGACTGCCGACCACTGACCACTGACCACTACTGACCTCTGGCGAAAAAAGAAAGAAAAAGAGAGGAGCGAAGGAGAAGAAGAAGAGAGAAGAAGAAGAAGAAGAAGAAGAAGAAAAGGTAAAAGACGACACCGGCAAAATATCTCTAAACGGCCGTCCACACACACACATACACACACACTTCAAACACACAGCAGATGACTGACAATCTGACACACACAAAATCTTCTACCAATAAGATCAAACAGATCAGATTAATCCATCAATAAAATCGATAAAAGACTCCCTAGCCCCAATCCTCGAATCTTGTCGATCAAATGATTATCAGAGTCTGCCTTGTATCGTGAGATGCTTCATATCCTCCATCCAATCTCATGAGCCTTTCCATCCTCCCCGATGCATTTGTCCATCTTCCCATCCATCCACACCGTCCCCCCCCTTTCTCTAGATGGAAGAGAAGAAGAAGAAAAGAAGGAAAAACTTTTACAGGTACAACCTCCCGATATCGCAATACCTCTTCTTTACATCTACCCCCCCCCCCCGTGGATTCCCATCAACTCGTCACGCCATGTGGATTTCGTTCCCTAGGTCATATGCTCTTTATTTTCTATATACAGAAAGGTCCATGCAGTCCGATCGTTCCAGAATGCGGTGCACGGGTCATCTGGGTCCTTCCCGCCATTTCCCATATTTTCCTCTTCTTTTTTTTGGGGGGGTTCTGGGTCTTGGCTCTTGGACTTGTCCATCTGTACTCCGTATTATTTACTCCGTACACCTTGACCTGCTGTCCTCTACAGGCTTGGCTCGTTGTATGATTCATGAAATTATCTTCTTGAGCAATAGACCGACATAGGTCCTGGGTATATTTGAGTCTCTCACACGCGACTGGGAGATTTGGGTAGAAAATCAAAATGAGATGTAAGATATAACCTAGGATGAGAAAGGGGAGGGGGGAGGGGGGGAGTGAATATATCAACTTTCTCTCTCTGTCTCTCTCTCTCTCTCTCTCTTTTTTTTTCTTCTCTTCTTTCTCCCTCTCCTCTCTCTCCACTTTCGTGTGTGAAATCTCACTAGTGGCTGATTGATTGATAAGTCTTGTTAGTCATATGTTGCGACAGTCATTGTCATATTTTCCCATCTCCCCTCCACAGGCAGCTTCTATATACTCGCGCGCAGAGTAACATCACTAGTAGCATTGTTTCCTGCTCTCCATGTCATGGGTATCATACAACTCGAGAGCTGATCCTGCAAACCCCATCTACAGACTCATCACGTTGCTTACTCATCGTCGCATCGCATACCAAGAGTTACAATCCAGGCACCGGACGGAATAGAAGCTCCTCCCCCTTCACACCATCTTTTTTTTTTTTTTTCGTTTCCGTCCGGTATGTTTTTTTACCTCCCCCCTTCCGACAATTGTAGCTGCTTTATATCCACCTTTTTTTTTTGGTGTGTGTGCGAGTATGTGTACGTGTACCGGTATATATGTACCCGTATGTTGCCGATCCGTCTCTGCCGTTGACGTCGTCTTTACGTACATGAGACTTCTGACAGCAGAGTACCGCAGCTCGTAACGATGTACTCGTAATATCGTACTCTCATGACACATCCCTATCAGTACTCGACACTCTTATGTATGCAATACGCGTTACCGATCTGATCCTCTTTTTTTTCCCATGCGTGTATGTACATTGCACACAAACACACACACACACACTCTCTCTCTCTCTCTGTGTGTGTGTGTGTGTGTGTGGTCCGGACCGACAAGACACTGTCTTCATCATAGCGTCATTGATCGATTGACACCCTCCCCATCCTCCCCGTGTGTGCTGGGTATGCCTTGCTTCCTTGGTCATCTTGTATGTGAGAGGAGGATTGTATCCCAGAGAGAGTTGGTAGTGAGTGGGTGGTGATGATAGCGGGTGCTGCTCGAGCAGGATGGGTCGTAGCTGAGCAGCACGGTCCTGTACTGTACGCATACCCGTCGACAGAGTCTGGGTAGATGGCCGTAGGTAGAGCCGCAGCTCTCCCTTGCGACAGCTCAGCAGAGTCAGCAGCGCATCAGGTCTCGTTCTCTCCATACTCGGTCCTGTGACAGTGGCAACCGCCGCATCGCCCGGGCCGGCACCTCAGCCGGTACCTTCGCTCCACCAAGATCTCGTGTAGCTGCTGATCGGTGCGGAGGAGCTTCTGCTCTCCCGGGGGATGGCATCAATCTACGGGAGGAGATCAGCCTCTGCGATGCGTCGGCGAATGCCTCCCACCGTCGCGGAGAGAGCTCGGGAGGGAGTGGCGGTTGGTGGAAGGAAGCGTGGATTCGAGGCGTGGGTTGGAAGGAACGCCACGGGCTTGGACATCGCCACATCGCGCGATGCCTCGAATCCGCCGCCGTCACCGTCACGTCACCGCTGTGATCACTCTCGTCCGCTCATCACCCATCACTCTCGAACCCTGCTGTACATCGCGTGTACTTGACAAGGTAGTAACGCTACCATGCGGTGGCCGTCTCATCCGACGATATGCCACTCGCTGAATCGCTCTGGCTCAACGCTATGCCCATATTCGTCTCATATACGACTACTAGCTATTTCAAGAACAGAAACGAAACGAAAAGAGAAAGAAAGAAAAAAACACAGAACAACAGAACAGTAAGATGGAAGAAAAAGAAAACGGGGGGAGGGGGGAGCAGAGAAACCCTTTGTCTATACAGATATGAATCATGTTTTCTCTCTCTCTCTCTCTCTCTTTCTTTGGTTGAACCGCCATCCCCAAACAATGCATCAGGAAAACCAGCAAGTGGCTGGATCCCCCAAAGACACACCCACCTACACCTAATGCCACGAAATGTAGAGCATGATACCAGCACCTAGAGCCACGGCAGAGAACTGCACCAGTGTCTTGCGCAGCTCAACAGCCTTGTCTCTTCCCGTCTCGAGCAGCTCCGGGATGACGGCCACGGTGCCGACGTAGAGGAACGTTCCGGCCGTGAAAGGTAGAAGCATATCTCCCCAGGTCTGGATTTTGTATATCAAGTCAGCCATCCGATATATTACAAGGGGAAAGAGAGAGAGGAAGAAGAGAGAGAGGAAGAAGAAGAGGGGGGGAGAAGACTCACCAGGCTCGTCCCCCACAGACCGGCATTCCTCGACATGCCGACGCCGTCACCCCCGTCGACGGCACCAGCACCGCCAAACTCCTGCACGGCGATGCCGATCAGCGTGCCGAGCAGGGCACCGACGGCCGTGACGAACTGCGACCCCATGGCCGCGCGCTTCGAGAAGCCCGACTGCACCAGCAGAGCGAAGTCGCCTACCTCGTGTGGGATCTCGTGGAAGAAGACGGCAACGGTGGTGGTGGCTCCGATGGTGGGCGAGGCGTAGAAGCTGGCCGACATGGCCAGGCCGTCGGTGATGTTGTGCGTGAAGTCGGCGATGAGGTTGAGGTAGCCTCCCAGCTTGACGCTCGTGTTCGGCCCCGCCACCGTCTTCTCCTCCTCCTCCTCCTCCTCCTTGCCCTCGTCGGCGGCGGTCCCCTTCTTCCTGCGCGGCTTGGCCGACTCCTCCTTGTCCACGGCCGTAGAGGTTCCCTCGGGATGAGCGGCGGCAGCTCCGTCGTCGTCGTCGTGGGAATGACCATGTCCGTGGGCGTGATCGTGACCGCCCCCGCCGGTGGCGATGCGCAGCCCCTTGTCCATGGCTACAAACGTCATGAACCCGACCAGTATGCCGAGGCCGAGGACGAGGTTCCTGTTCGGCTCGACCAGAACCAGACGCACGCGGTCCGGCTCGTCCTCCCCCAGGAATATCTCGGGGAGGAGGTGGAACAGCGTGTCGCCCAGCAGGCCCCCCACGGCAAAGGCCACCATGACGCTCAGGGACGAGGGGTCGATGTCCGTCGGGCACAGGGCCAGGAGGAAGTTGGGCGGGCCCGAGATGTACAGCGTCGCCAGGAGGGCGTTGACGGCCGGGGATCCGGGGAAGAGCGCTGCGAAGACGCGCGTGGCCAGGGATGTCGGCTCCGCCGCGAAGTGTGCGCTCTTGCTGTCGTTGAGATCCTGCACAATGCTACATGTCTATCTCTCTGTCAGTTTCTTTCTCTCTCTTCTTTTCCCGTCTTTCTCTCCCCTTTCTTTCTCTTTCTTCTCTTCTTTCTTCTCTTCTTTCTTCTCTTCTTTCTTCTCTTCTTTCTTCTCTTCTTTCTTCTCTTCTTTCTTCTCTTCTTTCTTCTCTTCTTTTTTCTTTCCCCCCCCCCTTTTTTTTTTATGAAATCCCTCGTCTGTTCTCTCTCCCTCTCTCTCTCTCTGTTCTGTCCCCCCCCCCCTTCCTCTGTCTGTCCATCTTTTTTTTTCTTTCATGGTCCCTGCATTTCTTACCTGAAGCTGCTCGTCAATCTCCTCGAGCGAGAGTCCATCGGCGATAGCATGCTTGGTAGCATCCTGCGGAGCGGCATAGCAGACGGTAGCCAGATACAATGCTGCGGCGGCCGCGATGCCAAACCGTCGCATCGTAGGTGCCATTTTGGGGGGGAGGTGGGGTGCGTGTGTGCGTGTGTGTATGTCTTGGCCCTCTAGGTCTGGTCTTTGCTCGGTTTTCTGCTCTATGTCCTGCTTGATCTCCGTATATACATCCCGAATTGAATTGATAACTTTGACCGGATCGTCGAGGCAAGAAGTGCGTGCGGGTTGGTTGGAGAGATGATAAGAAAAAGAGAGAAGAGGACAGCAATCGCCTTCCGACTTCCGCTAGAGTGTGGAGACAGCCCTTTTCTCGTCCCCCAGGGTACCAGGACACGGTACCAGGACACCACCAGAGGGAGAGGGAGAGGGAGGGGGAGTTGGCAAAATAACTCTCTCTCTCTCTCTCGTTTTCTTACCTTCAGGTCTCCACTATTATTAGCGACACAGCACGTAAAATATATATATATATATATATATATATATAAAAAACATATAAATATATGTATATATAATTTCGAAGAAAGCCTTGATAACCTTTGTTCTACCCGCAACCCGCGCCAGGAAGGCTGCGTGATGCCGCCCTCGGTCCTGTCTGATAGATGTCATACTTTTCTTTTTTCTGCCGTGTTCGTTGGCACGAAAGCCGAGCTGTCCCTGTGCTGTGATCCGACGAGGACTGTGTCGAGTTTGACCCGGGCGTGTTAGGCGTCAAGGTCGGCACAATGAGCAAGACTGAGTGCGAGGAATCGGGGGAGCAGCGGGTGGATGAGCTCGAGCAAAATGGGAAGATGTCTAGGTGCAGTCGAATCGTACGACGACATGCTTGCCATGGGAAGGAAGGAGTGGATTATTGTCATTAGGAGTTCAGACTCCGCATGCATGCGTACACAGGGTAGCTTGCAGCATTCGAGATTCAGCATTCCGAGTCACATCAGAGTTCCTTCATACCATATCGGACAGCGCTCTCTGCCCTCTTGAACTTGGAGAGGCTTGGGCATTCGACGACCTCGACAGCAAACCCTCTCTCTCTCTGCTCCGTACTTTGACACCGTATCTCCTCCATGATACCCACTCTCACATATGACTACAATTCCTACCCAGGCGGATTGTACTCCGTACTCCGTCATCCGTACTCTTACCGCAATCACGAAAAGCCTGGTTTGAGATGACATCAGATGACAGATAATCAGACCAAAAAAAAAAGGCCCTTTTTTCCCCCTTTAAAGGAGGGGGGGGAGGGGGGGATTTCAACATTCCCATCGAACGCATCATGACAAAACACTCAGGAAACAATCCATCTCGAACCCATCAGGTATTATATAGTATATTTGCGATAATCCAAACACACGACTGCATCATTCTTTTTTTTCTCAACCTTCTTTTTTTTTTATATAAAAAAAAGAACCCGCAGATAAAAAGAAATAAGATATAAAGAGAAAACACAAATCGTTTCCTCTCTCTTCTATTGAACAGATAAAGAATAAGAATCATACACACATCTCCTCTACTCTCTCCTGTAATTATACTGCATCGCTTATTTACAGGATGCCAACGGCGAGGACTATGGCGACAACAGCGGCGCTGAAGGAGTTGACCTTGCCGGCAATGCTCTCGGGAACGGACGACGAGCCGGAGCCGGAGCCGGAGCCGGAGCCGGAACCAGAGTTGGAAGTGGCACCGGAGCCGGAGCCGCTGCCGCCCGAGGTGACGGTGCCGTTAGACGGCGTCGTGCCGTTGCCGCTGCCGGAACCGCTGACGTAGGTGGGGAAGGGGGCAGGGCTGACGACGCCCGAGCCCCAGGGGGTGGCCTTGCCGACGACGCTGGTCAGGGTGGCAGAGGCGGCGGAGCCGTCGGCCTTCTGGGCAGCAGAGGTGGCGGTCGAGCCGGAGCCGGAGCCGGAGCCGGAGCCGGAGCCAGAGCCAGAGCCAGAGCCGGCGGAGGAAGAGCCGCCGTTCTTGGCGGCGTCGGAGCCGGCAGCCGAGGTGGCCGAGGAGGAGGCGGTGGACGAGGTAGCAGACGTGGACGAGGCCTCCTTGCTGCAGGAGAGGTCGTAGAGGGGCGCGCCCTTCAGGTCGCTGCCGAGGACGCCGAAGCTGGGGCTGGGGGTGGTGGGGACGGCGTCCTGGAGGGTGTACCACCACGTGTTGGTCTGGCCGAAGAGGGGGCAGGCGACGTCGACCCAGTACTGGCGGGCGCCCTTGGTGGAGGCGATGGCCTGTCCGGACTTGTCACCCGAGACCGGCCACCCGGACTCGGTGATCCAGACCTCGCGCTCGCCGGCGACACCCTTGGCCTTGGCGAGGGCGGCGTCGAAGAGGGCCTTGCCGTTGCTGACGCCGTTGGCCTTGGTGTCCTCGAAGTAGGGGTAGGTGTCCATGCCGAGCCAGTCGCAGGCCTCGATGAGGGGCTGGTTGGTGCTGTTGACGTAGGCGTCCCAGGTGTCGACGTGGCCGATGGGGACGTCGCTCAGGCAGGTGCCCTTGACGGCTTCGCGGACCTGCTTGATGTAGCCGACCAGGACGTCGGGGCCGGCGCCGGGGTTCTCGCCGTTCTTCTGACCGGTGGGGGAGTCGCGGTAGAGGTCCTCGGAGCCGACCGAGATGCCGGCGACGAGGCCGTCGAGCTGGCTGCAGTACTGCCCGATGGTGTTCTTGAGGGCCGAGACCTCGTTGCTGAACCTCTCGTCACCGGCCGAGGCCCAGAGACCGAAGAGCAGGCTGGTCTTGGTCTTGATGGCGGCGGGGATGGCCGAGATGGGCTCCGTGCCCTCTTCGCCCTGGATCATGGTGTACAGGCGAGCGCTGTTGAAGGCCTTGTTGGTGCCGGGGAGGTTGAGGGCGGCCTTGAACTCGTCCTCGAAGTTGGACTGGACCTTGACGGTACCGTCACCGTACGAGGCTCCGTAGTTGAAGCCCTGGAAGGCACCAGCGCTGGCCGACGAGACGCCGGCGACGAGGGCCACGATGCTGGAGAGAGAAGGCATTGTTGCTGTTGTTCTTGTCGGTGATGTGTCAAAAAAGAGTGTAGATTTTTTTTTCTTTCTAAAGAAGAGATCGTGTGATAGATAAGAGAACGTCTCTCGTCTTGAAATCCTATACAGTCAAGTAGGAAGATGGAGCGAGGAGACGAGAAATGAAGGGTGGACAGATAGATGAGCGAGTGTATGAAGGAAAAGAAGATGATGAAAAAAAGAGAGACAAGGATTCGGAAGGAATGAAGAGAGAGAAAGGGGAAGAAGGAAAAGAGGGAGGGAGGGAGAGAAGAGAGAGGAAGAGAGAGGTTAGGGCGAAGGGGGAGGAAGGGACGGGGCGAAGTAAATATTCCTAGTACGAGCTACGTACTCTGGGGACTCCCCTCTCCCCCCCCCCCCCCCCCCAAATGTGTCAGTATGTCCCAGTGAAGACATACCGGGCGATAATACGAAGGAGAGACAGGACAGTGCGCGCCTCTGTTTGACCCTGTCTGGCCTGGGCTCTCGGGCACAGCCCAGCCCATGGGATCCGTGCATCCGATCGAGATGGATCCCCTGAGCCACGGGGGTGCGTGCCTGTCGCCGCGTGTCTTGGTCTCTTCTTCCTTCTTCTTCATTTTTTCTTTTTCCGGACAAGTACACGGTACAGGTTTTGTTTTTCCTCCCTGTCCATGTGTGAATTTACTCGTCCGATGCACATGTACGTATGCTGATGATAGGCTGGGGCTCTCACGGAATATCATTATTACCCGGAACCAATCGAACGCGATCCACATGGTCGCGTAGACCAGATGGGAGCAGAAGTGGGTTTTGCTGTTCGAGAGCCGTGGAGAGGTCTGGTCCTTCGACAGGAGCAGGGGAGGAGGGGCGGTTTGGGTGGTCAAGGGACGGTAAAACGGTGAAGACGAGTACGAACATATAATATACATATATATATATATGTATATGTGTATATAATATGGACAGAGAGAGAGAGAGAGAGAGAGAGAGAGAGAGCCCATCAGTATCGATGGCTGCTGCTCAGTTTCTGATCATGTCTGGATACCTCTCTGATCGATCAGAGGACAGCCGAGGAGGACGGATGTATTCATCACGGTACGAAACAGGATCGACTCGTGACTGGTAAAGACCTAGATGATGCATGTATACGAGTATGTATCGTTATACAATTATAATATCGATACTCCGTGCAAGCTATGCCTTTCCGTGCAGATTACTAAGCAGTCCATTGCTGCCCGGTGTTCGTACCTGCGTGACCCTCCCTTCTTCCCCTGTTCCCCCCCACCCCTCCCTGCCCCTGTCGCTCCCATCTGGCACAGCCACTTGGCGCGCTACGATCGGGTTCTTCGGGGTTGATGAGCAGGGGTTTCTCTCTTGTTTTTTCCTCTGTCAGTTTTTAATTATTATTTTTTTTTCATCTCTATGTTCATACTGGTGTGTGGGGGGGGGTTTCTCTTTTTTTTTTTTTTTTTTCTTCTCAAAAGCAAAGCAGAGAGACATCAAACATGCACCGGAAATAACTCTATCAAATCATCTATACGAGATTTCAGGACACGAGCAAAACAAAAAAAAAAGGGATAAACAAACAACAAAAACACATAACCCCCCCCCCACCACCACCACCACCACCACCCTCCAACTTCCTTCCTGCATGGTAATACTAAATATAGACAGACTCTGGCACGGAGTACTCCGAACAGCTCACGAGTACGAGATGCTGCCGGTCATGGTTGACCTACCAATACAGATTACAGATTACTCGTACCCTTCACCGGTGCTCATACCCGATACTCACCACCAATTAATCTGTATATGATGCTATAACAATGCCGCTCTAACTCGGGTCGACAGCATTACGAGTGATCATATCGAAAATACCGGGCCAGCCAGGCTCCCAACTCCCACGTCTCCACGAGTAACCCTTCCTGCCACTCGGCCTCGCCCAATCTCCCTTTCCTCCTCTCTCTCTTGACCTCTTGACCTCTGGAGCAAGGTGGAGGAGGAGGTCCGGTGGAGGAGGGAGGCAAATCAAATGACAGATAGAAATAGATAGAGATGAAAAAAAAAAATGTCTGCTTGGTCGTATTTTCTCATTTCTTCTTCTTCTCCTTCTTTCTTCTAGGTCAGACAAAGAAAAAAAAAAGGGTTGCAGACTTTTCTCTTTTTTTCCCCTTCTTTTTTTTTTTTTGCTTCCTCTCCTTCTCTCTTCCTCTCTTCCATCTATTCTTCTCGAGAGAGTCAGACCCAAGTGAACCAGACTCGTGAGGCGGCATCCCCCGACGCGCACGGCAGGAATGTGGCGTTTAGGTAGACCAGAATCTGACATTGGAATACGGTGGGAGGATATTACCCGATCATGTGTGAGTGACATACGAGTATCGACGAGTGCCGTTACTTACTCCGTAGTACCGCAAGTACCCGTACGAGTTATCGTATAGTGATTACGACGGCTGCTGTTGTTATTAGATTTAATACTTGATACTTCTAGTAAACGCTTGTAAAGGTATTCGTTGGGGGGGGGGGGGGGGGAGAAAAAAAGAAGGAAAGAAGTGTACGAGTACAGGTTACGTTACTCCGTACATATATCATACATGTACGGAGTACCTGTGGAACCCAACGCCGCCGTACGTACTCCTGCCTCCTACACACCCTACACTGAGCCGCCATCAGCCCAACTCACTCTACTCTACTGCATACTATCATTACCTGCAGAGTATTTTTATTTGCAGGTACGGTCCGTACGAGTTACCCGTACGGCTGACCTGTTTGTGTGATTTGCCTGGCCACTCTCCCCCTGACGCCAATTCAAAGCCTAAAGTCCTCGTGTGTGTGTGTCTGTGTGTACTGTGCAGGTACGTACCGGTAAGATGTACCCGTAATTACCTCTTTCCTTCCTCGTTTTCCTTGTTTTCCTTGTTTTTCCTTTTCCGACTTTCGCCTTCTTTCCTATCCCTCCTTCTCCTTTTTTTTTCTTTTGGTCTATTTTTTGCCACTGGTGGGAATGCTATTAATACTATCAGAAGGTAACTGATACATACTCGTACGAGTTTGGTACCCTGTACTCGTATTTTTATTCTGTGTGTGCGTGTGTGTGTGCGCGTGTGTGCGTGTGTGTTTATTTATTCAACGCTGGGCTATTCTTGGAAGCGTGTGTACGCCTGCTTCTTTTCTTCTCTAACCCTGTACCTTAAAATCTCCAACCAAGCTTTTCCCACATGAAGACCTTCGACACTGCACTTCTCTCTGTACAGACTATTCCGTCTACACCTACTTGATACATCATCCCCGTACTCTTCATGCCCGCCATTTACGTCTCATCATGGCCTGCATCATTTCGCTCCAATCATCCTCGACTCCTCGGAACGCACAGGAACAAGAGCACACTCCAGAGACTAGTAGCTGGCTCTAGTAGCTTTGCTCCAGTGGCTTCTCGCTATACATATCCTGTCTATCGTGATGGCATGTGCGAGACTTGCTTGATGTTTTCTATACAGGTAATGATGATACATCGACGTAGCAATCAGCCATGTCACCTTGTCATGAGTCGATACAGAGTACAGAGGGTATAATACTTTCATCCATCGTATGCTCCATACATGAATACCAATAAGAGCCAGAGCCAGAGCCCAAGCCAAGAACAAGAAGCAAACCATACCTCATTGGAGGTAAAATAGAGACAAAAATACACACGATGCTCCGCAAAGACAGTAACAGCAGCTAAAAAGAAAAGAGAGAGAAGAGGATGGAAACAAGAGGAAAAAAAACCGCTCATACATGCTCTATATTCTGCAGAGGGACATATCCCTCATCCTTGGGAGCACCGACGCGACCGGTGAATCTGCCCACAGCATCACGCACCCACTCGACAACCAGGTTGACGGCGCCGGTAGCACCTCCGCTCTCGCGGCGGGGTGCACCGGCCCTGCCCTTCGAGGCCTCCATCTCGTCGTCCATCCAGGCTGGACGCCTCCATGTCTTGAGGAGCAGGCTGCTCACCACGACGCTGACGCTGCTGCACGCCATGGCGAAACCCGCCAGCATAGGGTGCATGTGGACCCCCAGCGGAAGGAAGAAGCCCATGGCGATCGGGAGGCCGAGGGCGTTGTACATGCATGCCCAGCCCAGGTTGAGCTTGATGCGCCGGAAGATGGTGCGCGTCAGGTGCAGCGCCGCCGCCACGTCCATGAGCTCCGTGGGCCGCATGAGCACCACGTCCGCTGCCTCCATGGCCACGTCTGTCCCCGACGCCATGGCCATGCCGACGTCGGCCGTTGCCAGGCCGGGCGAGTCGTTGATGCCGTCACCTACCATGGCCACCACCTCGCCCCTGGCCTGGAGCTCAAGGATGATGCCCTGCTTCTGGTCCGGCGTCACCCCGGCGTGCACGCACTCGGCCGGGATGCCGATCGCCGCCGCCACGCGTAGGGCGGCGCCGCGCTCGTCGCCCGTCACCAGCGCCGTCTTGATGCCCATGCGCTCCAGCACCGACATGGTCGCTGCCGCGCTCTCCTTGATGGTGTCGGCGAGGCCGAGGTGGCCGGCATACACGCCGTCGATGGCCACATAGATGGTCGTCATGCCGCTGTTGACCAGCTTGTCTTTCTTGCTGTCGCCGTCGCCGTCGCCGGCACTGCCGTCCGAGACGTCCGAGAGGGCATCGACCGACGGCACCTCGATACCCTGGCTGCGCAGCAGTCGCGCGTTGCCGGCTAGCACCTTGTATCGCCTGCGCTCGCCGCCGCCGCCGCTCCTCGACGCCGCCGACGCAGAGGAGGGGGGCTCCACCTCGGCGTCGATACCACGACCGACGGCGGCCTGGAACTCGCCGACGCTGCCGCCCAGCGTGCCAGTCTCTGCGTCGACGTCGAGCTCTTCCTTGGCCGCGGCCAGGACCGCCCTGCCGACCGGGTGCTCGCTGCCCATCTCGGCCAGGCCGACAATGTTCCACCAGAGCCGCCTGCGCCACTCGGCCCCTTTCCAGCCGGGCTCCAGGCCAACGCGGGCCACCTTCATCTTTCCGTAGGTGATGGTGCCCGTCTTGTCGAGCACCACCTGCGTGACCTTGGTGGTGCGCTCCAGCGCGGCGCCGCCCTTGATCAGGATTCCCTGCTCGGCCCCGACGCCGGTGCCCACCATGACGGCCGTGGGCGTGGCCAGGCCCAGGGCGCACGGGCAGGCGAACACGATGACCGAGATACACAGCTTGACGCACACCATGATCTTACCACCGCCCTCCTCCGAGGTGAAGACCTTGGGCGGGTTCGGCAGCACGTGGCTCAGCACCATCCAGCACAGAAACGTCGCCAGTCCCAAGCCCAGGATCACGGGGACGAAGTAGCCAGCCAGCGTGTCGGCCAAGGCTTGGATCGGCGCACGCGTAGTCTGAGCGTCCTGCACGAGCCGCACAATCTGGCTGAGCTGCGTGTCGCGGCCCGCACGTGTTACCCGGAAGTCTACACGTCCGTCGCCGTTGACGGTGCCTCCTATCACGCTTGAGCCGACGCGCTTCTGCACCGGCATGGCCTCACCCGTCACCATGCTCTCGTCCACGTACGTCTGGCCGCGCAGAAGCGTGCCGTCGGCCGGGATCTTGTCGCCAGGCTTGATCACGACAATGTCGCCGACCTGCAGTAGCTCCGTAGGCACAGTCTTTTCCTCGTAGGCAGACGACGAAGATGACGAGGAAGCACCTTGCTTGCCGTCCCCGTCACCACGGCCTGAGGCATAAGCCTCAGCCGCCTTCTCGGCCGCGATCGGATCGGCGTAGATGGTGGCCATGGAAGGAGCCAGGGACATGAGGCGCGACAGCGCTTTGGAGGTCTGGCCCTTGGCCGAGTTCTCGAGATAGCGACCGAGAGAAATAAAGGTGATGAGCATGGTGCTCGTGTCAAAGATGGTGTGGGGCCGGGCGTGGGGAGGGATGAGCACCGCCACGACCATGACGAGAACGCTGAAGAAGAAGGCGCACGAGGTGCCGAGGATGACGAGCACGTCCATGGTGGGCGAGCGGTGCTTGATGGATTTGTAGGCCGAAACGTAGAAGCGCCTGCCGATGCCAAACTGGACGGGCAGGGCGAGGACGAGACAGGCGACGTCGCCGACAAAGAGGCCGGGAATCAGCTCGAATCTGCCAAAGTCGAGGGCGGGGATACACATGGGTAGGATCATGCCGATGACGAAGACGGGGATGGCAAAGGCCAAGCTGGTCCGGAAGGCGAGGCGCCACTCGTTGATCTCGCGCGTCTTGGCCAGCGACTGCAGCTGAGCGTTGTTGTCCTGGCTGTCAGCCACGAGGGCATTGAGCCCCTGGGCCTCGACCGTCTCGACAATGACGCGCAGGCCGGTGACACGGGGATCGTGCTTCACCGTCAGCCGGTCCGTAGCTAGGCTGATGGAGGCGGAGCTGACGCCGGGCAGGCTGTTCAGCGAGTCCTCGACGGCCGACGCCATGGCCGCATCAGAGCACCCGTAGATCTTGAGCTGGGCCGTCGTCGCCGCCTCGGCTGATGCGCTGCCGGCGGATTGCGCCGCCTCGAACTGTGTAGACAGGACGGTGGCGTCGAAGCCACGATCGTCAATCGTCTCGGCAATCTGCTCGGGAGAAAGCTTTGTCACGTCGTGGGTGATGACGGCGCGCTCCGCCAGCAGGCTGATGTTGAACTTGAGGACGCCGTCGAGGCCCTTGAAGCCGCTCTCGACGGCAGAGGTACACGCGCCGCACGTCATACCCTCGATGGCGACTGTCGTGTTGGCAATGTTGCTCGAGGGAGCGGCTTCGGCCTTGTTCGTCGGGGAAGCAGCCGCGGTCGGGCTACTGTCGACAATCTCGGCGCCGAAGCCGCGGTCTTCGATGGTCTCGGCGATCTGGGCAGCCGTGAGCAGGTCTGGGTCGTGTTCGATGACGACACGCTCGGACAGGAGGGAAATGCTGAAGGTCTTGACGCCGGGGATTCCCTTGAAGCCGCTCTCGACGGCCGAGGTGCACGCGCCGCAAGTCATTCCCTCGACGGCGATGGTGGTGGTGACGGTGTCCTCGTTGTGGCCCTCGTCGGCGGTCGTAGTGGTCGGCATGTCTGTCGAGAGGACGGTTGCGTCGAAACCGCGGTCTTCGATAATGTCTCGAATCTCTCCTGGCGATATTGTGTCGGGATTGTGTATGATGACTGCTCTCTCTAAGATGAGATTGACAGACACGCTGCTGACGCCCTCGACGGCCTTGAAGCCAGCTTCAACGGCCGAGGTACACGCTCCACATCTATAGGGTTGGAAATTAGAAAAGTTCAGCTCATGCACGATCATCATCGACAGAGGCGTGTTCGCAATAGTGCACATCACTCACGTCATGCCTTCGACACGCAGAATCGTGGTAGCCAGATGTACGCCCCTGCTAGCGGACGACATGGTGGCAGCCACCATGGTGTATTAATCTCTCTTCTTCTCCTTTCTTATTTCTCCTCTGTGACGCCTTTGACTATACTGGACTGGACCGTCCTTTTTTTCTTCTCTTCTTTCCTTTTTCTTTCCTCTTTCTTGGGGTGTCGGGGCCGCTCCCTCTTACGGAGCAGTCTATCGCATGTTGCAGAGGACGCAGACTCTCGGAGATGATCGGCGCTGTAGTGGTGGCCGAGTAATAACTTATAAGAGCTAAAAGTGGCGAGGGCGCGCTACTTAAATACCGAGGGGACAGAGAGGGACGGAGGGAGACTGCAAGCGAACCGGCGTCTGCAGTCGATATTATGTATGAAGAAAGGTCAGAGGCGGAAGGAGGTAGGATATGAGGTAAAAAAGGGAAAAGGGAAAAGGGAAAAGGGAAAAGGGAAGAGCCAAAAGAGAGAGGTGGGTGGGTGTGGGGGGGGTGGAAGAGAGGGTTCTTGGCGAGGATTATTATGGAAGAATCAGGCGGGCGGCTGACAAAAGCAAGGTGTGTCACGTCGGTGCTTGCGCAGGTGGGAGGCTCGGTCAAGCAGAGGAGCGAGACCATCTCCAATCAATTTGTAAACGGCAACCACGGAAGCTATTGCTCCTTCCCGGACCGTCCAGGTGTCAATTACGTCTCCGTATATTACTCCGTACAGTATCACAGCACGTCTTAGGCCTGGGAGATGGATTGCCAAGTCCCATAAGGCCACTGCTCGAGGATTATCACCTACGACATAATGTATTATTGCTAGTAGTCGTCATCCAGCGTCGTAACGCCGGGCACTTTGCCTCGCTCTTTCCCCCCATCCTCTTCCCTATATGCTGCGCAGCAATAATAGCACAGACAGTAGTAGTATGGAATATTGGTGTAGTTATTACTACCCCGTTATCGCCTAGATGCCCCTCAATGGCAGCCCTTACAGTGGACATTGGACCAAACACGGAGCGCTGGCGCACCCCCTCACAGCCCCTCTACTTTCCACCGGGCCACCTGGCGCCCCCTGTTCTCCTCAGCTACGGTATAATACCCGAATCCTACGGGCTACATATACAGGCCTACAAGGCTACATCAGGACAATTAATGCTCGTCTCTGTCGCACTGCGGAGCGTCCCACCGTTTGCTCCCCCTCGTCTTGAAGCATCTGCCGTTTCAAACACCCGTCGGGAGCTCATTCTAGACTTCCCTAACCAATCCGAGTACTTGTCGACGAACTGTAGCATCTGCGATTCATAGTAAACATGACACTGTCGCGAATTCATTGCCATCACTTGCACCTGGCTAATTTCCGGGTTACCTGTCCATGTGCTGCTTGCCGTTCTACCTGGAAGGGGGGGGTGGGGGGGGCTCTCGGCGGTTCGCTTTGCGGTTGAAACCAAAAGTGGCATCTAATAACGTCGACTTTCGGTATTAGCATCAATCATTATTGCTACTCCGTACATGTACACTCTTGTTTGAGCCTCATTTCTCGTACTGGGAGCGACCTGGTATCGCCACCGGCACCTGTGGTAGTAAAGTTTCAATATTATCATCAGCACTCGTCGAGTATACCGATGGGATGCATTAAAATAGCATATAATACGCCAGACCACACAATATTGGCGCCCCGTATCGAATATTCGCACTATCAGGCTGACGACGCCTCATGCAGCCACGTGCCGTACAGTGATCATGGCTCTGTCTTGCTCTACGAGTACTCATACGCCGCATCTATCTTTATGCCCGTATACTGCTACTAATCATGCGGCGTATATGCGAGCGAATCTCCATGACCGACAACAGTTCTGGTGGTCAGCTGCCTAACGTCGCCGGTCGGTCCGAGCTCGGTTGGATGACTGAGATGAGAATATCTGGCTGATCTGAGCAATCGCATGAAGGATACAGCGTTGATAGCAACATTGGCTACGAACGCATGTTCCTCAATCCCATCCTGACCAGGGCAAGATGCAAGCCACAGCATCCAACGCCGAGCAGCTCATGCGCCTCACTAGCCACCATGTCCATGGGCAGTATAGACCGTGAATGCCGTCACTTCGAAGTCAGACATTCGCAGATTATGTAAAGGGAATCTCGGACATCCGTATGCCATCCAGGCACTTCTCATACCGTCATGCACATCCATATAACCAGTTCGGGAGGTTTCTGTAGTAGTCGGCCATCGGCATTGTCAATACCAGATGACGCCCCTCCACCAACAGCCCCGCGACGCCACACCTGGAATTGACTTCACACCTCACTTCTACACACCCACAACCAGCGCCCAAGTGATCCATCATCATCCCCTCCTCCTCCCAACCCGTTATCGACATCAGAAACGACAGAGATCATCACATCGGCATATACCAATCCCGACAACCAAACTCCTTGATTGCCACCCCGTGACTTGTTACGAGTTCTGCTCTCTCTCTCCCCCCTCCCCAAAACCCACGTGCCAGGCCGAAGGGGTCCCTCCCCACCATGGAGCAGACCAAGGCTCTCAACGCCCTAGAGGTATGACCGCCACCTCCCCACCTCCTCTCTTCCCTCCCATCACTGTTGCTCCTCTAATGACATTGAACACGCTAGCCGTTCCTGATCCTCTCGAAATCCGCCACGTCCCCACGCGCCGCCGTCGACCTGGTGCGCCAAGCGACGTCGGCCCCCAACACCTTCATATTCGCCGAGCTCCTCCAGACGCCACCGGTAGCATCCCTGGCGTCCTCGACGGAGGCGGACCACCGCTCCCACCATGCCCTCCTCCGTATTTTTTCCCACGGCACCTACGCCGACTACATAGCCGGGCGCGATGGCGGCGATGGCGGCGACGGCCTGCCCGAGCTGTCCGACACCCAGGCCCTGAAGTTACGGCAGCTCTCTGTCCTCTCGCTGGCCCGCGACCGCGATAACCTCTCGTACGCCTCCCTCCAGGAGAAGCTCGGCCTCTCATCCGCCCGGCAGGTGGAAGACCTGGTTGTGACGGCCGTGTACGCTGGTCTCGTGTCCGCCACACTCGACCCGGCCCGCCAGGCCGTGCAGGTGACGGGCGTGGCGCCGCTGCGTGACCTCGCCCCGGGGGCCGTGCCCTACATGGTCCGCGCCCTCGGGGTCTGGTCCGCCCGTTGCGAGTCCACCCTCCAGGACCTGGACGGGCAGATCGCCGCCATCAAGGCCGACGCCCGGGCGCGCAAGGCCGAGAAGCGCAAGGCCGACGACCGTTTCGCTAGGGCCAAGGCCGATGCGTACCAGGCCGAATCCTCGGGCCGCCTCGACGTCGCTGCCGCCAAGCGCGACATGATGAATAACAGCCGCAAGTGGGCTGCTAGGCGGGCGCAGCAGGTCCAGACCGCTTCGGGAGAGGTCATGGACCTCGATGATCCCATCTCTGCGGAGGGCCGTGGGAACAAGCGCAAGATGTGAATGATTTCTTTCAACCTGGGCCCAAATGGTTTTGCAAACACTATTACTACGCACAAAGGGAGGGCAAGTTGGGGGGATGAGCGATACAAGAGTCGAGCATTATTACACATTTGCTCTCAAGTTACATGATTTGATGACACGGAACAAGAACGAAGATAATCAAGGGGGAAGCTGTTGAAAAACAAATGACAGGTGCTTTTTTTGTTCTTTACTTTGCTACCGGATATTCCCTCCATTCTAACTACCAAGGAGGGGGGCAAGATGGGATATATCACAGCCAAGAAAACGGGGATATTACAACAAGGAAAAATAAGAAAAAAAAGGGGCGGGGGGTAGTAGGGAAAAAAGAAGAAGACCGCAAACTCCGCAACGCATCGCAAAGTCTCCTTTAGAGGAGAGAGAGTTTTAAGCAAGGTAGAAAGAAATGAAATGCAAATAAGTGTATCCCGACGCCAAGTAACTGGTCCCTCGGCCTTGAACAGACAAAAATGGTATGGCACTGAAATATATGAAAAGAACAATGAAGGAAAAAGAGCCAGCTAGTCAAATATGTCCCCACGTATAAACGCAAATGGGAATAGAACAAACACACAAGAAAGTGTCCATCAACAGATGGAAAAAGAAAAAAAAAGGTACACCACACGGGAGAGGCAAAGATATTGAAGAAAGAAAGAGGGAAAAAAATCATCAATGGTCATAACGGGCCACGGCGCCCAGCATCCATGTGTCCCGGAAGGGTAAAAAAGTCGCAGAAAAATGAGACGTTCTAGAGTCTCTTGCCGGGCACGAGGATAAATAGGATGCACAGGGCAGCGTCGATGAGCAGTGTCACGGCGAGGACTGTCAAGGACCGTTTGGCGATGAGGGAGCGGACGTAAGGCTCCCTGATGCGGGAGAAGTTGAAGGGTGTATACTCGCTGTAGCCGACGAGGGCCAGGATGGGATCGAGAGAGTACTGATACGAGGCGAGGAAGTAGACGCCCACGGTGAACGGAAGAACGAGCTATGCCATTTTGTTAGTGGTGGGTAAGACACGGTGGGTGAACGATTGTACAGATGAACAAAGGGTAAATAAACAAAAGGACAAGAGAAAAAAAATCAACTTACCCAGCATCTCGTCTCGCGAGACTTGTTGAGAAAGATGAGGGTAAAAGCAGTCCAAAAGGCACCAAACATGGCCAGCAGACCGAGGATGAGACGCATGATGAGCGTAGGCGGGATGAGGTTACCCAGGGCCTTCATCCTGAGGAAGCCGGGGAAGGCGTCCCGCTCCATGGCCTGAAAGACGTAGTCCTTTGCGACGTCAAAGACCTCGGGGTCGTCTCTGCCCATCTCCTCGATGGCCATGGTGACGTCGTTGGTGACGGATCCGGGGAGTGTGATTTCGCGCTCGGCGCCGGGGAGGAGGAAGGTGTACAGGATCTTCTCGGCCGAGGCCTTGATGTCCTGCCGCAGTACGGTGTGGCCCGGCGAGTTGGACTCGGTTGTGATGTCGCGAGGGGTGCTGAACTGCGGGCTGGGCTTCATGGGGACGGACCCCGTGCCGGTGCCGGTTCCAGTGCCGGTGCCCCCGGCCTGGTCCGACGACTCGGCCGCCTCCTCCCGCAGAAAGGCGGACATCTGGGCGTCCTGGTCCTTCTCCTTCTCGGTCGCGTACATTGACGGCCCGGCCGCCCGTTCCCCCAGATCCCCCATGCTCTCCAAGATCATGGACGACCGCTTCGAGCTCACCCTGTCCATCTCGGGCGTGTCAAAAATGACGGACCGTCGGAGCTCACGGACATAGTGTCGACATAGCGACATGTGCTGGGCAACATCTAGCCTGTTCCCCCCCTCTCGTCGGTTAGCCGGGAAAACTCTCTCTCTCCCAATTGCCAAACTTCAGTCCCAAGAAAAACATGGAATCGATGATGTCACGAACCAGAAATCAAGATAGTCGACTGAACGCTGCTGATCGCGCATGTATATGTAAAATGAAAACAGGTCCACGGGGGGCAGTGTGCGACGGCTGAGCACCTCGAACAGGGTCGGCAGTCGATTCCTCATCAGGTCGGGTTGAGGCGATGGCGTCGTCGCCATGGTCTGGAGTTGCTGTTGCTGGTCCGCCATTGTCGTCGTCGTCGTCGTCGTCGTTCTCCCTCGATATAAAAACCCACAAATCGTTCGGATTTGTCGCGTCTCCTCGAGAAAGAGAGAAGAGATTGCCGGGACACTCTCCCAGCGTCCTTCTTTTTCCTTCTGCTTCGTCGAGATCGCAGTTATTCCAGCTTGTTTAGCTCGTACTTGCAGTAGTCGCGATAGATTGGCGTCTTTTGGAGACCCAGCTCCCAGTCTTTTTCTCTTGCCCTTTTGGAACAAGGGGAGAGGGGTCAGATAATTAGGAAAAGGTCGATAATAGGATCCCCTCTCTCTCGCACACAACGGTGTGGCCGGTAGAGAGAAAGAACAATGGTACTGGAATGAAGAGCGGTGGTGGGCTTTGAACGGGATAAACAAGAGTCAGGGCCTTAAACCGTCCCAAGACACACGGCGAAAAGAGGGAGCAGAGGGAAGAAGTGAGAGGTCTCCTGCCTCGTATCCGTCCCCTTGAATCTCCCGGCCAAATGAATGGCCAAGGCAATGGCGCGATGCCCACTTTTCCCTCTACTGTGACAGCATGCTTTATTATTAGGCCTTGAGCCTTGGCTTAAAGCAGAGCGACGCGGCCGGCCGAGAACTTGACTGGGGCCCGGAAGGGTACGTACTGGGTACGTACCTTTGTCAGCGTCCTCTACACGTGACTTTTCCCTCAGTGAAACCTGATCAGCCCGTGATTGGGCCGCTGGCAAACCCACCAACTTTTTTTCGAAGCCTGCCCTACGCACACAGAATTTCCGGATTTTGGCCCTCATCCAGACCATCCCTCTCCATTCAACGTCCAATCAACCCCGTCACGGCACGAATCGCAGGTACGATCCCCCCGACCTTCAGGACATACTCTTTTGCGCTTGGAACCTGGTGTTTCTCTTCTTCTTTCCTCCATCGCAAGAAGAAAACGGATTTGCTTTGCCCGCGCGCGCTCCCCGCTGTTTTGTCTTGTTGAACGTCGTCACTAAATTTCCCCCCTCGCCGCGCACAGAAATGTCGACCAAGCCCACCGGAAAGGCCCAGCGTTCCGCTATTGCGGACGTTGTCACCCGCGAGTACACCATCCACATGCACAAGAGGGTACGTCTCCCTCTCTCATGGAAGAAGAAGGCATTCTCGAGAGTACCGACCAAACGCAGAAGAACGGAAGGGCTCTTTCTGCTGGCTGTCGAGGGAAGGGAATAGCAAAGCTAACGCTGGAATTTTTCTCTCATCATCAACAGATGCACGGTGTCACCTTCAAGAAGAGGGCTCCCCGCGCTATCAAGGAGATCAAGGCCTTCGCCACTAAGTCCATGGTACGGAATTTCTCTCTGCCCTTCCATCTTTCTACAACCCTGGGGAGCAAAAGAAAAAGAAACCCCCGATACCATCACAGAGTGCGCAATGCTCCACCGGACATCTCCAACTAACGCAACACTTGATTTACAGGGCACCACCGACGTCCGTCTGGACCCCGAGCTCAACAAGGCCGTCTGGGAGCAGGGAATCAGGGGCGTCCCCTACCGTCTCCGTGTCCGCATCTCCCGCCGCCGTAACGACGAGGAGGACGCCAAGGAGAAGCTGTACAGCTATGTCCAGGCCGTCAACGTTAAGAACCCCAAGGGCCTCCCCACGGTCGTTGTGGAGGAGTAAGGGAAAGGAATAGAATGATTTTTTTTTCCAAACGCAAAACAAAAGAAAGTTTTCCTTATTATTTTTCCCGGTGATGGTATTCTGGGTGAAAAAAAAACTACTACAAAATGGCATTTCGGAGTTGCGATTGTTGGCATTCTAGCTTTGGACGTCTAAAAAAAAAACACAAAAAGAAGCTTGTTACTCCAAGGGCACAGGTACTGGTCGTGCATGCTCTCGTAACTTCGTGAAGGAGGGGAGGAAGATATGCCGTCTTGTTCCTGACTTTGTGGATGACACAAATTGTCGGCACCGACTGTCATCGAACAATTAAGAAGGGGTAATATCAAATAAAGGTCATGGCTAAGCGTACGGGAATCAGACGAGAGGGGATATCTGATGCGTTGACTTTGAGCCATGACTTGGCTGGCTCTGATGCAAATGCCATGTGAGGCTATCCTATCCCTGAACTTGAGTCGTAATAATCCATAGCACCACCAAAAAAAAGAAGGACTCCAAAATAAATAAAACAAGAAAAGTGTGAAAACCCTCCTATAATTAGCCAATGCTGCCTGCGAGATAATAAGGAATCAACAAGAAAAGAAGACGTCATTGCTCTTTTACTCGTCGTCAATGTCCTGGTGCCTTCCCGTCACCTTCTTCTGGAACTCCTCGGGGTCCTTGTCCCACAACTCGGCAGCCTCACCATTGAGAGGGGAGGCACTAAACAGCACAAGAAACATGTCAGTACAATGTTCCTCTACACCCCTTTATTCATATCAAGCAGAGAAATTTGGAGAGGAAGGGACGAAGGAAGGAGGAGGAGGAGGATGAGGAGGATGAAAACGCACTTGTTGGGCTCGCCAAGTAGACTCTGCAGACTGAGCAGGACAGTCTGGACATTGTAAGCGGCAGTCCACTTGTCCTTGAGAATGTCGAGACAGATGCGGCCGGAGAAGTCGACGTTGGGGTGGTAGATGGGCGTCTTGAAGAGCACGACGGGCGGGGCATAGGGGTAGTTTGAGGGGAAGGAGAAGCTCAGCTTCATGGTGAGGCCCTTGTAGGGAGTGTCGTCGGGGCCCTCGATGGTGGCCGTCCACGAGAGTAGGTTGCCGTCCGACGAGGGGAAGGCCGAGACGCCGGGGGCTGGCGACGTCATGAGTTGCATGAGCTCGGTTTGGAGTCTTTTTTCGTTTTTAACAGAAACGAGAAGGAATCAGCCTGTTAGCTCTCTTTTTCTTTCTTTTTTTGTTTCTCTCTCCCCCTCCCACATTTCCTTTCTTTTTTTCCTCTCATATACAAAGCATACCTCTTTGTTGTGCTCTGTGAGTCGGGTCCCTTGCGAACACCACCCAGCTTACCAGCCGGGACGTCACCCGGGGCAGAATTCTGGTTATCTTCGGCAGAGAAATCCATTGTCTTTTTTTTTCGTTGTTCTTTATCGAGACAAGATTAAAAAAAAAGATCGAGCTTCTTCTTTTTCGTCGTTCGTCGGATGCGATTGGGGGGGGCGCGGGGTTGGGGGGGTAAAGAGGAAAGCCAAGCAGAAGCAAAGCAAGGCAGGCAGGCGGTGAAGGAAGAACAAATAGGCAATTCGTCTTCTCTTCGTCTCTGTCAAAAGCAAAGCAAAGTCTCTCTCGTATGTCTTTCCGAGAAGAAGAAAAAGAAAAGGGGAGAGACACTACTAAGAAGGGGAGAAGAAAGTCTAGTCTTGGCAATTGGGCAAGAGGGAGAGAAGGAGGGGCGGTCTAAACTCAGCAATTGTCTTCTGTGATGATGGCAAGCGGCGGCGGCACCTTCTTTACCGCAGCAACGACGCAGCAACCACCTACTGATTAGTACGAGGACTACTCCATAACAAACAGAAAAAAAAAGGGCCTAGCAACCAACCAGATCAACTCGCTGTCTACAGGTGAAAACGCCGTCGGATTTCGATCATTTCACTTTACACGACCTGGACGCGACAGTATGCGACCCTGACGTGTATCCCATTCAGTATCACATCAGACGCTTCGAATAGACAGCCATTCCCACCCTTCTTCTCCCAGTTGCCTCTCAAAAGCTGGAGGTTTGTTTTTGAGACTCGACAGGTACTAGTTAGTAATTGAATTTTGGTTAAACCCCCCCAACCCCATCCCCTGGCCTCATGGTACGTTCTCTNCCGCCAAAGTACCCCTCCTCGTGATAGACCATGATCAACATCACGAGGCCGAGGCGGACTCGATCAAGGAAGAAGTCTCTCATGAATCGTTGCTGACATGCGACCTCTGTTCCAGTCGCAACTTGCCCCTCTCCCTCAGGACCTTCCCTTCCGAATCGTCTCCAAAACGGTAGGAAGGGGCGCATATGCATCGTGAGTCTTGCCTTCCTTCCTGCATACTAGTATACACGACTCTTCTATGTCTGCAACAACAAATCATCACGACGATATTGACCGACTGCTTCTAGTATAAAAAAGGCCGTACCGCTGGACGCCCCTACACCCGTCTTCGCCGTCAAACTGATTCACAAGGGCTACGCTCTCAAGAATGGCCGCCTCTCGTCCAAGCAGCTGGCCATGGAGGTCTCCCTCCACTCTCACATCGGCCAACACCCCAACGTGATAGAGTGGTTCGCCTCGGGTGAGGACGCCACGTGGCGCTGGATAGCCATGGAGTTCGCTGAAGGAGGAGACCTGTTTGACAAGATCGAGGCCGACGTCGGCGTGCGCGAGGACGTCGCCCAGGTCTACCTCTGCCAGCTCATCGGCGCCGTCAGCTTCATCCACTCCAAGGGCGTCGCTCACCGCGACCTCAAGCCTGAGAACATCCTCATGTCGCAGGACGGGGCGCTCAAGCTTGCCGACTTCGGAATGTCCACCATGTTCGAGTACAAGGGCCAGCGCAAGATGAGCAGCACCATGTGCGGCAGCCCACCCTACATTGCTCCCGAGATTCTGGCCTGCGGTCGTGTCGACAAGACTTCCTCCAGCGCCCCTACAAAGTACTCGCCCGACCTCGCCGACATTTGGTCCTGCGGCGTCATCCTCTTCGTCCTGCTGGTCGGAAACACACCTTGGGATGAGCCCTCGCCTGATAGCTGGGAGTTCAGCGAATACGTCCGCACCGGTGGCAAGAGCTCCGACGCCCTATGGAAGAACATCCCCCAGGAGGCCCTCTCACTCGTACGCGGCATGATGAACGTTGACCCTCAGAAGCGCTTCAATTTCAACAAGATACGGCAGCACCCCTGGTACACAAGACGCAACCCCTTCCTGACGTCCGAGGGCAAGGTCTCGGACCCCCTCAACCTCGCCACCAGAATGCTCGAAAACCTCCACATCGACTTCTCCCAGCAGCCCAACTCGCAACGCGACCCGGCCACGGACGATATGGATCTCGACACAGGCCTCAACGCCGGCCGCTTCTCCTCGACCCAGCCCGAGGCTCCCATAACGCCCATCACAGACATCGACTGGGACTGGGAACGCCCGACTCTGCGGGCTGCTGCCGCCCCGGCCTCGTCAGTGCCCGCGCAAGGACAAGGCGTGGGCCGCGTGCTCCCCAGCTTCCTGGCCGATGAGCCGTCCATGTCACAGTTTTCGCTCAACCCAGGCCCCTCGATGACGATGACCCAGCACGCACGTCGCTTCGCAGACATCTGCCCCCAAGAATCCCTGACACGCTTCTTCTCCCACGTCCCCCCGGCACACCTCGTCCAGATGCTCGGCGACGCCCTCCACCACCTCAACGTGCCTCTTGCGCCCGTCACGCCCAACCTCTACAGCAGCGATGTTGCCACCATCAGGGTCAAGACGCTAGATGGGCGGCAGCAGAACTTGCACGGTGAGGTCAAGGTCCATAAACACAACCTGGTCGACGGCGAGGTGCTCGACGTGACCTTTGTAAAAATCAAGGGTGATCCGCTCGAGTGGCGACGCTTCTTCAAGAAGGTCGTGGTGCTCTGCAAAGACGGCGTGTATGTCCCAGAAGCTTAGAAAGATGACGGACCGCCGCCTGCCGGTCGGCAGGAACGCAGAACCTCGAGGAAATCATGGACAGATGAAGATAGAATGCTGAACAGAAACTGGAATGAAACACGATAATGCCCCGAACGCATCTCATCCCATCAATGCGCCGCTCATGATGATTGTAGCAGACAGGCAGATCAACGACGGTCTTACGCAGCCTGGGGAGCCTCCTCGTTATTCTGATCGGTCCACTCGAAAGCTGCTTTCCGATCAGTCATAGGCTGAGGAGAGAAAAAGAGAGAGGGAGAGGGAAAAGATGCTTACCCTGACGACACATGGGGCACTGTCCCCTGGCGGCTTCCTGCTTGATCCATTCCATGATGCAATGCTGTGAGTTTTGAGGATAGGAGTTAGCTCGGGATGTCGCCTCAGCGCCGAGATGTGGGGGCGAAGAACAAACCATGTGGAAGCTGTGACCGCATTTTCCGGCCACTGAGGAGATTTCGTTAGCATGCTGAGCACTCATGCCGGCCCGTGATGCTGCGTTTATACGATAGAGGGAGAGGCACGGGGAGGGGTGAAAGTGGAATACAGGAGAAGAAAGGACTCACATAGACTGCAGCTATCGCCGGGAAACTTGCATGTCGGGCACGTCCCGTCAAAATGGACCTGGCAGATACCGCAGACGTCGTCTTCGGAGATGTCCCATCGCCAGGTTGCGACTGCGTTCCACTGTTTGATGGTGACCTTCATGATTCTGTACGTGCGTGCAAGGTGTCGAATAAGATGACTACGGGTTGCGCGTTGGATGCTGAGGTTCAAGCAGCTGTGGTCCGTTGGTGATGGCTGTTCACTAGTGGTGGTGATAATATTATGGAGTTGGCCATAAACAATGAGCCTCATCTTGCGTAGAAAAAGTCGCCATCCTGGACTTATAGCGGGGCAGCAGCGCGCGTAGTCGCGTTTGTGGCCTGTACCTGGTCCTGTATATTAATTATCACAGGGCTCCATCGCTCTCCTCCCCCCCCCCCCCCCCCCCCCCCCCCCCCCCCCCCCCCCGCGGTGTCTCGGGGACCGAACCTCATTCCGGGGGGGGCTGGGCGTCAGAGTAGATTCATCGCAGGGATTACAGCATATACGATAATATGATGGTCTCTTATATGACGCACAGATATGTCAAGTTTTCTCTGCTTTATGTTTGATCAATTCAGAAGAAGTATATTTTTGTTCATCCTCCTCCCTTTCCAAGGAAGAAAAGAGAGGTTGAACGCCAGGCTCTTGACTAGTACGTCGTACTATATTGTGTGTGGTAGTGTGCGCTTATCCAGCCTAGAGGTATGGATAGTGCAGTTGTCGAGAGCCCCGTCATCGGTTCCTTCTTCCATTGGTCGAAGCTTCCCCCCCGCAGCTTCTGTAGGCCCGAAGCTCCCTGACTTTTTCTTATCAAGCACGCATGTTCCAAACTCCACCGCCGACCCCCAACCTCGTACAATCCATCTTCTCCTCTCATCTAGCACCTCCACGTCGTCAGAGACTCGAATTAATCTCTGTCAGCTAGCACGCAGATTCTATATACAAACGCATAACCTTCTGAAAGCTTGCCTGGTGCAAGTTTGAAATCAATCGACCAGATCCCTTGTCGGGATCGCGGGTCTTGCAACATCTCCGAGACGACTCTCGATTGAAAGAGAAACGAAAAAGAAAAAGAAAAAAAGAAAGAAAGAAAAAGAGAAAAAAAGAAAGAGAAAAAAAAAAAAGACGCCCTCTCACGACCGACCCAGACACTCTAGGCCATGGCCATTGCCCTCCTTGTCCGCCCCGCGTGGGTCGCTCCCGCGGCAGCCTTTGGACAGGTGCGCACGTATACCACGCGCGGCCTGTCGTCATACCTGGTGACGCCGACAGAGCTCAACGAGGCCATCAAGAGGAACGCTCCGTCCCCTATCAGCACCGATCCTCGTACCATACCGCTCTGCGCCTCTTGGTTCATGCCCAACGCCGGCCTCAAGGGCATAGATGTGTACCGCCAGCAGCGCGTGCCCAAGGCGCGCTTCTTTGACCTCGACAAGGTCTGCGATAAGCGCAGCCCGTACCCCCACATGCTGCCTGACGCAAAGGGCTTCGCCGCTGCCATGAGCGAGCTGGGCATCCGAAGGGACGACGAGGTGGTGGTCTACGACTCGCAAGAGCTCGGCATCTTCAGCGCGCCCCGCGTCGCCTGGACCCTCAAGGCCTTTGGCCACCCCCGAGTGCACATCCTCAACAACTTCAAGCTCTGGATCGAGCAGGGCCTACCCACCGAGTCCGGAGAGCTGTACACGGTCGAGTGCAGCACCTACCCCATTCCCGAGATGGACGAGTACTACGACCCCGTCGCCACCTTTGAGGAGGTCCGCGAGGTGGCCCGTGACCACAACAAGGAGGGCGCCGAGGGCGTCCAGATTCTCGACGCCAGGCCGGCCGGCCGCTTTGACGGCAGCGCTCCCGAGCCTCGCGAAGGCCTGTCCTCGGGTCACATGCCCGGATCCATCAACATTCCCTTCCCTGACCTGCTCGACCCGGAGACCAAGACGTACAAGTCGCCCGAGGAGTTGACAAGATACTTTGAGTCCAAGGGCGTCGACCCCGCCAAGCCCATCATCTCCTCGTGCGGTACCGGAGTCACAGCATGCATCATCAACGAGGCCCTCGAGATTGCCGGCTACGGGTCAGCCGAGACGAGAAAGGTCTACGACGGAAGCTGGACGTACGTTTAACCTCGCGCCGATCCACAATGATGACACGTACTGACTATTCTTCTTCTTTTCAGGGAGTGGGCCCAGCGAGTCCGACCATCAGACAACCTCATTGTCAAGAAGAGCCAGTAAAGCTGGCGCGAAAGGAGAAACAAGCAAATCGCGATAGCGAATAATTCACCACTCATTTTTTGGACCTTGCCGTTTTTCAAAAGCTTTCTCCTGCTTTGCTGTACGATAGGTCTGGCAAGAAGGGAGAGGGGGGGGGAGGATGCTCTCGCCTCTCCTGCAGTTTTCTGATTTTCCACATTTCTACTTTTTCAGACATTCATGACAGGAGTTTAGTTCAAGTTAGAGAAGTGTTTTTTTTTTCTTCTTTTTCTTTCCAGGCGAATGTGTTTCTTCTACTACTGCAGCTTCAGATGCGTGCCCTGGACCAATTTGCTATGGCCGGCGTGCAGCTTAGTAAATGCATTCATGCATCGTACCGCAAAATAGTAAGGGTTGACGTGGGACGAGTAAAGCTTGCAGTTTACTGTGTAAGCTGAATGGATATACTCCTGCCAGTCATGCTTGAAGGAGTAATAGTCGGTCAGTAACAGAAGCTCATCGCTCCATTCTCTCTGGGCCATGGTCGACCACATACAGCGAGTCGTACGAGTTAAGGTCCCGGAGAGAGAGGTACGTACCATGTGACAGTCAGGTAGGTGGGGCCTTAGTCATGAGAGCCCGAGGACCACGAAAGATACGTTAGGGCTCGTCTAACCCCGATTCGCACCTCTGGGAAAAGGTGAGGAAAAATAAACCCCCCAAAAAAGCCCCAGTAATTGTGGGAACCCCACCAAGAAAAAAAAGTTGTGTGCATTTTGAACCTCAGGTGTGCTCCCCCCCCCCCCCCCCCCCTCCCAAAACCCCCCTTTCCACCCCCTGCAAATCCCCCCCCCCCCCCCGAGGAACTCGAATCCATATTCCTGTTCCCCTTTCCATTTCGGAAACGACAGAAGCAACACAAAAAAGATGGCTGACCGTGGCACTTCTCGCGGCGGAGGTTTCGGCGCCCGCGGCGGCGACCGTGGACGTGGACGTGGACGTGGCCGCGGCCGTCGCGGCGGCAAGTCTGAGGAGAAGGAGTGGCAGCCCGTGACCAAGCTGGGCCGCCTGGTCAAGGCCGGCAAGATCAACAGCATGGAGGAGATCTACCTGCACTCGCTGCCCATCAAGGAGTACCAGATCGTCGACAACTTCCTGCCCAAGCTCAAGGACGAGGTCATGAAGATCAAGCCGGTCCAGAAGCAGACGCGCGCCGGTCAGCGCACCCGCTTCAAGGCCGTCGTCATCATCGGCGACTCCGAGGGTCACGTCGGCCTCGGCATCAAGACCTCCAAGGAGGTCGCCACCGCCATCCGCGCCGCCATCATCATCGCCAAGCTGAGCGTCATCCCCGTCCGCCGCGGATACTGGGGTACCAACCTCGGTGCTCCCCACTCTCTTCCCAGCAAGCAGAGCGGCAAGTGCGGTTCCGTCACCGTTCGCGTATGTTCTCTTCTTCCCTGGTCACTGCAATCCTGATATATTACCTCCTCAACCCTCGTGATGGTCGCATATATATAACTACCTGAGAGAGCGGGGGAAAGAGGGGGAAATATATATACATATGTATATATGTATACTAACCAACATCTGCAGCTCATTCCTGCCCCCCGTGGTACCGGCCTCGTCGCCTCCCCCGCCGTCAAGCGCTTCCTCCAGCTCGCCGGTATCGAAGACGCCTACACGTCGTCCGCCGGATCCACCAAGACTCTCGAGAACACACTCAAGGCCTCGTTCGTAGCCGTCACCAACACCTACGGCTTCCTCACCCCCAACCTGTGGAAGGAGACCAAGCTCATCCGCTCGCCTCTCGAGGAGTTTGCCGACTCTCTGCGTGCTACCAACAAGCGTTACTAAGCTCTTTTTGTCTTTCTTTTTTTTCCACTTTTTAAGAACAAAGAAATTCATTGTTTTTTCTTAAAAAAAAAAAAAGAACGTTTTAACGTCTCAAGGTAGCAAAGTAGAGTTGAATGGATGACGACAAAAAAAAAGGAGGATTGTAATGGGAGGGGGTGGGGTGATTGCCATTGCCCTCTCAAAGATCTTCTAGGGGAGGTTGATTTTGATGGAGGAGTTTTTTCTCTTTTTTTTATATTGCTCTCTTCCTGAATGATGAAAACTCTCTCCCACGTTTTTCTTCTGCATGGTTGGCCTGGTCAGGACTATCTTGAGATTAAAGGCTATTTGAAGAAATACTTTTACGGCTTTATGGTCTGAATTGGCATGAATGAGAGGAGAGGAAAAGTAAATAGACATCGTTCTGACTGCTGTGCCGCCGTTCCATGTTCCTGCTGGATGACGGGCGGCTTGAAGCTGAAGGGTCTTCATCCTTTGCTCATGGCCCCTGCCTGCAGTGTAGGTATTATAGGTGATCCGGACGACGGCGTCGATGCCACGCACCGTCTCATGGTGATCGTAACTACCCTGTACCCTGTACCTGTATCTCTGACGTTTGAAATATCTGACCAGGATCCCAAGATGGATAAGACGTACCTGTGGATATGATCTGTGTGGAGCAGACACGCAGGTTAGGAGTATACAATATGTCGTCCAGTTGCTCGATCATTAGTCTGTGGCACATCTCATCTCCTGCGACTATTGAGAAGAAGTACAGATCATCACCGTCTGCCCAAACTCATCCAGGAGGTGAGCAGACCTAGACCCTGATCCAAATCTCGGGTGATTTCCCCGTCGTCCCGAATCTTGGCAGAAACCGAGTCAATATCGGTCTACATGACCGAGTACAGATCATTAACACTGCACTCTGCAATCCGTCACCCGTACCATCGCAGTCATTATTTACCGCTCGTACATGTAAGCCTGTATGTAATAGACAAGGTAGGCGCGGAGAGGAGCTGATACGGGGAACTACTACTAGTACTACTACTGTACGGGTGGCTCAAATTCCTTCTCTCTACCAGAGTACGGATTACAGGTACACGAGTATTAGACAGGTACAGATAAACCCGTTCGGATAATCCGTTCAGGCATCAATGCTCTGCTGCGAGGCAGACTGTATTCGATCGCAACATCAACGATCAAGATGCAGCGACGATGTCAATACATGCACTTGGATGGACACTCAGCTCCCCCCACCCCTTTTTTTTCTTCTTCATTTTCCCCCCATGTACGAGAACCCATACGCAGTACCTAATCAAAGTATGGACGACATGCATACTCATACAGCACAAGTCTACAAAACAGACTACAACATCATACCCGTACTCATATAAATACACACCAAGCACATCAAACTCTGGAGGAATCGTGTTTATACCTGTTACATAGTCTACCTATACACAGAATTGCAGGAGAGAAGATGAAGAGCCTTGACCAAGTCCCAGCTTCATTGATAGAATTGCTGTCACTCCTGCCCAGTACCCTCCCCAATCGTTGATGGAAAGAATTATGCCCGGTGTTTCATTGCCCGGCTTATATGTGAATTTTACTCCACCGTCTTCTTTTTTTTTTTTTTTTTGTCTTTTTCGATTTTCCTGCCCTACGCGTTGCAGGCAATACATCCTCCAGCTCAGCTCTGAATCAAGAGCCAACTTCGCATCTTCTTCCCGGTCTATCCCTTTTCACGAGGGGCTGAGGGAAAGAGTCGGTGTTGCCACAATGTTGCATTCTTGTTCTGTGGTATCTCCTCCAAATAAAACACTGGCTGTGACCAAATTCCCTTCTCTTCGGCCTTGTCGATTGTTTCCTTTTCCAGGAAGAAATAGACTGGAGACCGTGTCCACTCCTTCCGAGAAAGGAACAAGAAAAGAAAGAAAAAAAAAGAAAAAAAAAGAAATGCAAAAACAAAAATCAACTTTTTGCTCCCACAAGGCCGCTACACGCATGTGCCGCCATCAAATAACTCGAGTGAAAAAAAAAACGCAAGGGGGTTGTTGGACTTGAGGGGGTATGATCCAGAAGTCCCCGTTTCTTTTTTTTTTTGGTGCCGGATAGACTTGCTTTGGAAGTGGTGTGTGATTGTTGACGGAAGGAAAGAAGAATCGAGATTGTAAAATGGTATGGAAATGGAAAAAAAAAGAAAACGAAAAAAGGTCGAGAATAAAAAAAAGTCAAACGCAAGTCGCTAAATGCCATGACATAGTATGTAACAAAATCATCGAGAGTGCCTCTCGATGAAACCGAATCTTCTTTTTTTTTTGGTTTCACTTTCCCGTGTGCATCAAGATGGAGAAGGGTACAATGGGACAAGTCAGGTTCCAACCGACTTCAGTGTCGCCCTGCAGCACGCGGTGGGGATGCGAGACCGGAAACATATGCGAGAATTTCCATGCTAAGGGTTGATGTAGTGCTGGTTCGCGTAGGCTCCGTGTGTCGTCGATGGGTACTGCTGAGGCTGCTGTTCTTGTCGCCCGTGTGAGGGGGTCACTGGGCATCTGGGAGGCTGTACCGAGTACTGGTTGGTTGCTGCCGCTGCCGCATTGGCAAAGTGGTGGCCGTCGGGGGTGATGGGTGGCGTCAGGTATCCATCGAAGCCGGCCGGGGCACCGTTGCCCTTTTGCGGGGTGCTCAGGACGTCGTTGCTGTGCTTGACCGACTCGGTCGGGGGCGTGGGGGGCTCGGCGTTGCGGCGGGCCAGGGCGGCCTGCTGGGCCATGAAGTCGGCGAGCTTCTGAGACACCTTGGACAGGTGCTGGCTCGAGTACTTACGGGCGAGCGTGGGCGAGGGGCGGTGGAGGTGCTGCGAGAGGGTCAGGAGGGTCACGTTCTCCGTCTGGTCCCAGGCGCCGTCGTTGACCTCGGGGCGGCCGAGGACGGCACGGGCGAGGACCAGTGAGGCGCGGGCCATGGTCGAGGGTTTGGTGGAGACGAAATCGCGGTGGTACATGGCAATCTCGCTCATGTAGGCGGCCATGTGGTCGACGTCCTGGTCGTCCTGCTCCTCGGCAACCATGAGCTGAGCGAAGAAATCGACGGTGGGGTGGCCGATGGACCAGTCGAGCGTGTTGAGGACGTGCATCTCCATCTGGGTGAACATTCCGCTGTCGTAGAGGCCGCAGCACATGTTGTTGAGCTCGTGGATCTGGGGGACGCGGTCCTTCTTGTCGCCGTACTTGGCGGCGATGAGGAGAGCGGCGCATCCGACGAGCTGGTAGTGCTGCTTATACACTATACGCTTGGCGCAGTAGCGGTCGAGGAGGTTGATGGTCAGGTACAGCGTCTCGGGCAGAAGGGCGAAGGCAGCGTGGGCCTCAACGAGGAAGTCGATGAGGTAAGGCCTCATGAACCACTGTATCTCGCGCTGCATGTCGATGAGGTTGACGTCGGGGACCGTCTCCTCCTCCATATGCGCCATGTGCTGCATAACGTCCTCGAGGTACTCGTCGGCGGCGAGGCGAGAGAGCTCATTTCCGATGAGATCCTGCTTCCGACGGGCAATCATCTTGGCAGCCTGGCGGGGTGTGATGGTGGAGGCGTTGAAGTCGTCGTCCGACTCCACGAAGAAGGTGGGGTCCATCTGGTGTTGAGCCATGATTGTGTGTGGGTGTGAGGGGGTTTGATGATTATGTGGCTCCTCTCCGTATATTGAGAGAAGACCGGGATGGGGGGGGGGGAGTCAAGAAGTCGGGAGAGGACTGCTTGATTGATTTTGAATGAATGTCGGATAAGTTCCCCAGGAATCTTGGGTCGGATGGCAGCTTGTGTAAAAAGAATAAAAGAATGAAGTCGGTCGGTCGGTCGCGTTGGCGAATGAATGGGAGCGCGCCGAGGAATTAAGTGATTAGGGTATTAAGAGAAAGAGCGTGGTGGTTGAAGATTAATGAAAAGGAGTGACAGTGGCTGGAAGCGAAGCCAGGAACATGTATGCAGGAGCCGTGCAGGCGAATTGAAGAGGGGAAAAAATGGAAGGGGTCGAACAAAGGGGGTTTTTCCGCCGTGGGGAATTGACGTTGTCGATTGAAGGGCTCTAGAGATAAGGAGAGAGGCACTAGATTAGCTACTGGTTCGCCAGCTAGACTGTAAAATGGAGCCGATAAATCGAATGAGAAATGCGTGGTTCCCAGACAGTCTGTACAGCGCAGCAAAAAAGTAGACAAGAGGTGCTGGACCGTAGTGAGAGAGAGGGCGTGGAGGGGAGCCTCCCTTGAAGAGTTGGGGTATGCGGACGAATTCAAGGGTGAAAGATGATTGGCAATAGGGGCGGTGGACAAGGTTGGAGCCAGGGGAACAAGCTCCAAGGGGAAAGGGGTTCCCAAGAATTGGTAGGAGGGACCAAAGGGGAAGTCAGAGAGAAAGGGACGAGGCCATACCGGTACAGAGACTCTGCTGCAGATCAACTAGTGGACAGGTCCAAGTCGAAATGAGACAAAGATCCTAAAGATGGAGTGGGAACTACGAGCCAACGTGTCCCACAGCAACTCAGGGAGCTCAGGAATCAGAGTTGGTCCAGGGCGAGATGAGGCAGAAGAGACGTTTGCTGGCTGTCGGCCGGCATGCAATCTGCTCATGAGAAATTAGAGTCCTGTCCGTGATATTGCGCGTCTCTCCCATTCTTGTCCTTGATCGCCGGTGCGTCATCACGATATCCATCCAACCCTCTCGTACCGGGTCGAGTATCTGGGTCGAGCACGACGACAATGGGCGCAACTAGGTGGGCCACATACCTCTTTTGAATCTTCTTGATCCTGTACAACTCGAATGGTCTGAGGGAGGGAATCACTCAGAATACCGATGATTGGTTGAGTCAATCCGACCTTGTATGTGCGTGCGTGGAAGAATAGGCGTGGGCACACAATGTCGGTGACGACGTCGAGCAACCGCGCGTCTTCCGTCAATCGTCAACGGCTGTCAATGGCAAGGGGAGCCAGTAGCAGCAGCAGGCCGAATGAGGGTAGAGAGGGCAAGGGCAGGAAGTATTGGCTGGTATTGGACCCTGTTCGGTATGTACTCGGTTCAAGGGCGACCGATGGTGTCTCGGTGAGCGGACTCGAAGGGATGGCGGATTGAAATTGGGAGGCCGATTTGTGGGTTCAATCCGGCTCGGAGGGCGCTGGAATTCGACTTGACCGGGCCGTGGAATTTGCGGTGGGTTGAGAGGCCGAGCAAGAAGAGCTTTAGGGGAGACAAGAGGAGAAGAGAGGGTCAAGGGAGGGTGGGAGTCAGGGTAAAAAAAAAATACCAGTCAAGTGAATCACTCAATCGATCTTTTTTTTTTTGACTAGGGCAAGGAGAGAGGAGAAAGAATTAGCTCTAATACTCGGGAAAGAGGTAATAGTCTGAAGCTTTCGAAATTCTTCTCTTAATTCCCCGTCACACACCTTCTCTCGTATCTTTCTTTCTTCTCAGCGACCTGCACCTTGTGGGAGTGTAGGAGATTCTTCTCTTTTTTGATCCTCCCGTCTCGAAGCTTTCCACGACTTGTTTCTTCTTTTTCTTCCTATCTGTCGTGCGTTCTTTTGCAATTTGATGGATCCGGAGCCTGGATGCAGGCAAAAAGGAGCAGATGAAGGTGGCCAAAGAGTTGATGGTGTGTTGCTAATTAGGGACTCGATGGTGGTGCTGCCTCTGGATGGATGCAATTAAGTCAGGACCGAGGAGAGAAACGGCAAGGATGATATGATGGACAGGAAAGAGAGAGAGAGAGAGAGAGAGAGAGAGGGGAAGGAGAGAAGAGGGAGGGAGAGGGGGAAAAAAAAGAGAGGAAGGGGAGGGGGAGAGGTGGTTAAAGGGTAGGAGGAGGAGGAGGAGGAGGATGGGAGAGAAAGAGAGAGGGGAGGAAAGGACTGGAGGAGAGGAGCCCGTGGAGTAGTTTTAACGAAGAGCGCGGACGGTGACGAGTGCCGCAACGGTGCACTGAGAAGAGGAAAGAGACTGCTGGCTACTGCTGTGTGGCCCAATTTAGCAGGCACCTACTCCCACCTTCCCAGCAGTCAGCCAAGCGAATATGGAGCCTGCCTGCCTGCCTTTTTTCCCTCTCGCACTCCTTTTGTTGCGTCGACGGTTAGGGGAGGGGGGGGGGGAGTCGGGGGTCAGTCAGGGGGGGTGGTGGTCTCTGTCTCCCCCACTCCTGCAGTAGCCAGGCAGCTGCTTTAAGAAAATAAAAAAAAGGACTTGTCCGTCCGCTGGTAGGCTGCATCCAGTGGAAGGCAGCAGCTGGGTTCACGGAGGAGCCCACTAGATCAACCCCGGCTCAGGAGTGAACCCAGCCAGCATGACCAAGGGTACCTTACCATACGAGTACTTGAATAGATTGTATGGAGCTCTCTCGTTTCTTCAATGGTTGAAAAGCGTCCGCCCCGGGAGGGCCCCCCCCCCCCCAGCAGCGCTCGGCGACCAACAAAATAAGATAAAATAGAAGGACTCCCCTCTCCTTGGAACCAATGGACCGTCTCCCAGGCCAGGGTTTCGCGCGAGGCGGCGGAGACGCTTTTTCTTTTCTTTCTTTTTCTCTTCCAAGGGGGGCGTGTATCTGTCTTTCTGCGTGACCGTGTCTGACCCAGCGATCGGGGCGGAAAGACCGTCATATTCCTCGTCTGTGCTGCGTGGCGAAACAGAGAGTGAGGTTTCCGTGCGCACAAAAGTAATGCAATGCACACACCTCTCTTGTGTCATCATCCACCGATCAGATGCACCACACACCCCCCTCCCCGGACTTCAGAGAGAGAGAGAGAGGGGCACAGGCTAAATCCGGACAGCACAGCACAGCACAGCACAGCACTTGCGATGCATGGTGTTTGACGTGATTGTTTTTAGAAACATTCGGGGAACAAGACGAAGACGAGAGAGAGAGAGAGAGGAAGAGAGAGAGACCGGGAATTGACAGCTAAACAGTCGACAGCTCCACCGGGAACACAGTCTGTATGCATTGACCGTTGGAAAGATAGGATAGAAAGAACGTCTGTCCGTTGAGTGGGAGAGAGAGAGGCGTAAGGCATAAGCTCTTGAGCGGGCATAACGCTTCGTGATGACGGCCGGCACAAGGCCTTGGCGTAAAAGGAAAAAAAGACATGCCTCGGTGACGGCAGACTGACGAACCATTTCCAACTTACATACGGATATCTGAGCAGCTCTCCGAAAGATCACCAGACTTCCCCCCCTTTCTCTCTCTCTCTTCTTTTCTCTTCTCGTCTTCTTCTTTCCTCTCAAACAAGGGGAAACCTTGTTTTGATGTCTGTCGTATGAATTGTACGCTCCGTAGACGGGTAATAGCAGTCGCTTCCTGTCTTGAGTGGGAGATTTGCCAGACGCAGGGATGGTGTATTATGGCGGTGACGTTGGTGGTCTAGATCAAAGACTTACAAGTAGAGGTGAGTGAAGACGGCCACTTTTCTCTCTCATTACAGAAGCGTCATCTCGGTGTGTGCCCGCCCTGCTATATACTCGACACAATTACTCGGGGAACACGTCATGAACACCACAATCCCGTCTGCTCTGCTCTGCTCTGCTCTGCTCTGCTCTGTTTATTTGTTATTGTTGTCGTCGCCGTAGTAGATTCCCCGCGTCCGCGTCCTCGTCCTCAGATGGCCCGTTATGGAGGCCGTCAACAACAAGCTGCCGTGCGCTCAAACTTGAATGTGGTGGTCATATTGCCGAGTACTCGAGTTTGAGCTGGATGCTCGTAGATGATCAGCGGCTAGACTCTGAATTTTACAGGTAGAGAGAGACAGAGGAAGACGGACGGGGAAAAAAGAAAGACCAAAAAAGAAAGAAAGAAAGAAAGCAACGTCACCCCTTGTCTGTAGATTTTGTGCGTCATCTATGCATGATTGTGGTGTGGCCGACGATTGATATCCATCTACAGATTAACCCGTACGGATAAGACTTGACACTGCTACCTATCCCTCACCTGCCGGCAGGCGCTCGTATATTACTCCGTAATACCGAGCGAGGAGATGCACATGGAAAATGGCAAAGTTCCCTCGGCCTCGATCTGCGGCACGGGGGATAGCTGACGATACGACCAGATGATACTGTATGCAATGTCTATATGTCAACACTGCCACGACGCGTACGGCCTGCAATGTCTGTGTGTCTGTACGAGCATCATTTAATACTCACGGCGGATTACGGATTATTGCCAGGTACAGGCAGTAATGACAGCAGTGGTAATTACTAGTAATACTATTGGGGTAATACTAGCATTAGTTGAATAAATGTCTAGATGAATATGATGAATGTAGGAGAATAAAAAATGGGTAAATAAAAAAAATAAAAAATGCACGTACAGGCCGCGGTCAATCAATGACCAGTCGACAATGTCCATCCTCGGGGTCAACTCCCCCCCCCCCCCCCCCCCCCCCCCCCCCCCCCCCCAGCCACCGCCGCGCGCAAGTCAAACCCTGGTCGACATGCTCGGAGTTCTCAAATCAGTCACAGCTGCGGCCCACGGTCCCTATGGACGAAGCTTTCCCTGCTCCTAGATTTGTGCAATGTGCATGTCTCGAACACGCTTCTGCGACGAGAGCTTGGTGTTCTCGTCTTCATGTACGTATCTTGTACAGTATCGGTACATGTCACCCCTCGCGGTCCTCATCACAAGAGAGGTGGCTTTCTCTTCTTCATTTCTTTTCCCCGTCTTCTTCAGACATATCCTGCTTCAATTCTTCCTTCTTGTCTCTTTCTCTCATCAAGTCGATTTGGCTACGGCTACTGCCACTATTACTAGTTCGGCACCCCGACAAGAGTGACATCTCCATATGGTTCATGCCGGTCCATCCGTTTTGGCCACGCCCCTCTCTTTCTCTACTAATAAATAAAATAACTGCTCTGCTGCCCCTTTAGCCTCGCGCGACGCCAAACAGACACGCTATGGATCTTGGATTTATTCATTATTCCTCCTACGGAGTACTTATTTCTTTTTTGGTTGCAGATGCAGGTTGCAGCGACACGAACAAGATCAAATCATTAATCTGTACAGATTACACTTACCACGATTGTACGGATACGGAGCAATACGGCTAGTTACCATCAGTGCACGGGATGAATATTTCCTCTACCTAGAAAAATCTCATTTGTCCCGCAACGCCTTCACCAGGGGGGGGGGGGAGGTGTATATCATCAATATATTCATACTCAATTCAAATCAACCGGTAGTACACATGTGATATGCATAACTATACAGAGTATTATCATCACTACCGGATGTGATTAACAGGTGTACAGATTAGAGTACGAGCACAACAGCGCAAGCAATCAATGACTGGCAAAAGCAAAGAAGGAAAAAGAAAAGAGAAAAAGAAGAAGGAGAAAGAAGAATATACCTCGGTGCCGTCAGTTCCCTTGCCTCTCAGCCCTACCTAGAATCTCTCCTCAGTCAGACCTCTGACCTCTGACCTCTGAGTCTCTGACCCTACTGCTGCTGCTGCTGCTGCTGCTGCATGCTGTATTAAACTCGTATCACTTGGTACAAGAGCGCACCCTCGAATTGACAGGTCATTGACGCGCAGTCACAGGCACATCCTTTTTCTTCTTCTTTTTTCTTCTTCTATTCTCATGCAAAGCAGAATGGGGAAGGGAGGAGGTAAGATCAGAAGAGGCGATGGGGTGTTGTACAAGTACTCGGGGGGGATTCATGTTTAAAAAAAAAAAAAAAACACGGTTAAACTCATACCATGACACACACTCCATCGCGAGGTGAGCGAGCGCGTGTATTATATCGTGTAGTCGCGTAGCTAGCCTAGCCGTATTTTCATGTGTCTCTGTTTCTGTCCGTCTCCCCCCCATACCGCTGTACTCCGCCGGTAAGACAAGACCAGGGTCCTGAGCCGATGCCGTCTGCTCTCTCTCTCTCTCTCTCTCGCAAGATCATGTACGAGTACGTCCCGTCGTAAGCACTTGTAACTCTACAGATCATGGTCTAACGAGAGGGGGCGCGTGCATGAGCCGGATGTTGGCAGCCAAGGACCAATGATGAGTGTGTGTTAGGGCATCCTTTTCAACACAGCTACGTATCACGGCCTTGTGCGTGTCTCACTCCCTCACTCACACACACTCACACACACACACACTCTCTCTCTCTCACCAACTCGCGTACAGTAGTTAATATATCCGTGTTGAGGTATACATGTTGGAGCAATTCTCTACACCGTGCTCAAAACCCCCGTGCATGTTCTTATTAAACGCGTCTTCGTAATTGCTTCTCCTGTCAATCCCCCCCCTAACGTTACTATCAGCCAACTTATGAAACACTGATCCCGAACGGCGTCGTATTGTGACGGGCTATATTATTGGTAGTCCTAGGTAACCCTAGGTAAGTCAGCCGTGACAAAGTCGAACGATATATTAACTCCATATAAATAGTCTACGATGATTCCGTATTTCTGCCTGTACGGAGTATTGTTCGAGTAACGAGTCCACCCGTCGTCATACATTATGCCGTCAACTTGCAGGCCACCCCGGGGGGGGGTATCACTCACTCTTATGGGTCTTTTCTGAAGTAGGGAAAATAGAAAATGAAAAATTAAGAATTAAAACCGGAAGAGAGAAGGAGAGGTGCTGTGAGAAAAGAAGAAGAAGAAGAAGGACAAGGAAGAGCAAGGCGGGTGCTCAGTGTCGTCACAACTCCTTCTTTCTTCGGCTAGACAAGGCAGTATCACCTTCAGAGCAGAGCACAGCAGAATGCAGCCAGAAAAGAATCGGAGAAAGCCCACTGTTATCTGTACTCGATTTCTTTCTCTTCTTCTTTTTTCCTTTTCTCCTTTTCTTTTTTCCCATCATCAATCCGTCGGAACAAGGGATCATTTTGTCGACGAATACGCCGTCTTCGGGTCAGGTGATCTCCTCGATGCAGGAGGGTCATGGTTATGGGGAGAAGCATGAATATCAATCACTACTTACTATAGTACAAGGCAAATGTGCCTGTACCTCTTCTGTTTCGTTGCATCTCCACTTTGGGAAGACCCCCCCCCTCTGGCAAGGTTGAGACCACATGGGTCGCGCCGTTGCTTAGTACGATGTTTTTTTTTTTGTCTCAACCTCGGCCGTTTCTTCTTTCAATTTTTAATTTTAGTAGTACGTACATTTTAGTAGTAGTAGCAGTAGCAGTAGTAGTAGTAGCAGTAGTAGCAGTAGCAGTAGTAGTAGTAGCAGTAGCAGCAGCAGTAGTAGTAATAGTAGCAGTAGTAGCAGCAGTAATAGCAGCAGTAGTAGCAGCAGCAGCAGTACCAGCCTCTGTCTAGAAATGACCAACTGGTTGATGATGAAGGTGGCAAAAAAAGAAACAACCCCCCCCCCCCCTCCAAGAAAGCCACAAGGAGATACACATGCGCACCTCTTGCATGCACACCCCGTATCGCAGAGGGCTACTCGTACATGATGATGATGATGCTGCCTCGCTTTTACGTACGTCGTATCGATATGCCATTGCTCAAACTCTGTGATGTGTCTCAGCTAGAGGAAGGGGGCGGGGGGACCTCGGGGTGGGGGTGTTCATCACACGTCGGTACGGGGTATTATACATTTGTTGGGATGCGCAGTAGTGGTACGAGAGGTAGCAGAAGGAGGAGAAGGCTGAACAAGGGAAAGATGCTGTTGCTGCTTCTGAGCAGTGACCGCAGGCAGAGGAGCTCAAAACACCATGGGCTCTTAGTTCATCTTTATTTATTTTTTATGGCGTCATTTTGCCTGTCAAAAAAAGAAAGAAAGCTCCAATTCCAGCTTGTCTTACCCCCCTGTCAATTGCAAGAGCGGGGGGGGGGGGGGGGGGAGTAATTCCAGGACAGATCTCGTAGAGATCACTGATCAGTACGGGACTCTGGAGTAAATTGTCTTCTTCTTCTTCTTCTTCTTCTTCTTTTTTCACTTGTATTTTTTAATCATCATATTATTTATCTCTACTTTTCTATTATATAGTGGAAAAGTATAAACTCTCGTATTGATAGATATGTATGTATGTGCGTGTGTGTTGCCAAGAAAGTGCAAGAACCGGTTATTGACATGCCCTCACGGTAGATGTAGTGATATGTTATCATGTGTAGCCTTCATCCTCAGATAACCAACCCATTGCCTCAAGCTCGGAACCAGTAAGATGATGGATACGC